ATTCCGCCAAGACCAAGGTGGATGAATGGAGGCTGGCAAGCGATGTGAAGGATCTTCAGCAAAACGATCCAACCGATGGACGAAGACTTGGTGTTACATGGAGCGGGCTCACTGTCAAAGTGGTGCCTTCAGACGCACGTTTGCAGGAGAATGTGCTCAGCCAGTTCAACATTCCACAGCAGATCAAGGAGTCACGACAAAAACCAGAACTGAAGACCATTCTCGACAACAGCTTCGGCAGCGTACAGCCGGGCGAGATGCTGCTGGTGCTGGGAAGGCCTGGATCTGGATGCACCACCTTACTGAAGATGCTCGCCAACAAGCGCAAGGGGTACGCACAAGTCGAAGGCGATGTGCACTTTGGCTCGATGGACGCCAAGGAAGCCAAAAAATATCGCGGCAACATCGTCATCAACACCGAAGAGGAGCTTTTCTTCCCTACGCTCACAGTAGGCAAGACCATGGACTTCGCTACAAGACTGAACATCCCACGTACTCTTCCGAGGGATTCCGCCACTCCCGAGGAGTATCGCCAGAAGTTCAAGTCATTCTTAATGGATTCTATGGGAATATCTCACACCGAGGACACCAAGGTTGGCGACGCCTTTGTTCGCGGTGTATCTGGCGGAGAGCGCAAACGAGTCTCTATTATCGAGACTTTGGCCAATCGCGCCAGCGTAGCCTGCTGGGTAAGTTCACCAACCATCCATGAAGCTGAGGACAACAAGCTCTTTCGCATCCGCAATGATGGACGCTGACATGACACAGGATAATTCCACACGTGGTCTCGACGCAAGCACTGCTCTAGAGTACACTCGTGCTCTCAGATGCTTGACAGACGCGATGGGCATTGCTACAATCGTCACATTATACCAGGCAGGCAACGGTATCTACGACCTTTTCGACAAAGTCCTCGTGCTCGACGAGGGCAAGCAAGTTTTCTACGGCACTCGCGAACAAGCTCGACCCTTCATGGAAGAGCAGGGCTTCGTATGCAGCGAGGGTGCGAACGTTGCCGACTTCCTCACTGGTGTGACAGTACCATCTGAGCGACAGATCAGATCCGGATTTGAAGGCTTCCCACGCAACAACATTGAGCTAGAGCAGGCCTACCAACGGTCTTCCATCAAGGCTGCCATGGAACAAGAACTGTCATATCCCACAAGTGACGCCGCAAAGTCGAACACCCAGTCCTTTGTCGAAGCTATGGCGATAGACAAGTCAAAGCATCTTCCAGCATCATCTCCCATGACAGTCTCGTTCTATAACCAGGTGAAAGCCTGTGTGGCTCGGCAATACCAGATCCTCTGGGGAGACAAAGCGACGTTCATCATCAAGCAAGGTTCTACACTCTTCCAGGCACTCGTAAGTCTCACCATTCCACTCCGAGCTACTATGCAGTGTCACAAGATGTATTCGAATTTATGACTGACTCCGCTCTTAGATCGCCGGTTCGCTCTTCTACAACGCCCCCGCGACCTCTTCTGGTCTGTTCGTCAAGGGAGGAGCTCTCTTCTTGGCTCTCCTCTTCAACGCATTGCTAGCCATGTCGGAGGTTACGGACAGCTTCTTCGGTCGCCCTATCCTCGCCAAACACAAGAACTTCGCTTTCTACAACCCGGCAGCTTTCTGTATCGCCCAGATCGCAGCCGATGTCCCGATTCTACTGTTCCAAGTCACTATGTTTATGGTAGTGCTGTACTGGATGGTGGCTTTGAAGGCTACAGCTGCTGCTTTCTTTACTGCATGGTAGGCGATGGAAGCTTATCTTACACATGAGTCGTACTAACACGCTTTGACAGGTTCGTCGTATACGTCGTCACCTTCGTCATGACTGCCTTCTTCCGCATGGTCGGCGCCGCCTTCCCCAACTTCGACGCCGCTTCCAAGGTTTCGGGTTTCTCCATCACAGCTCTCATTCTCTACATCGGATACCAGATCCCGAAGCCCGCGATGCATCCATGGTTCGTTTGGATCTACTGGATTGATCCTTTGAGCTATGGCTTCGAGTCTCTGATGGCGAACGAGTTCTCTGGTCAAGACATCCCTTGTGTCAACAACAACCTCATTCCGAACTTCCTTCCTCAATACCAAAACGGCGTCAACCAAGCTTGCGCAGGTGTTGGCGGAGCTAAGCCTGGAGCTACCTCGGTCAGTGGTGACGATTACCTGGAGAGCCTTTCTTACGCCAAGGGCCACATCTGGCGCAACGTCGGTATTCTGTTTGCCTGGTGGTTCCTCTTCGTGGGCCTGACCATCTTCTTCACACTCCGATGGGACGACTCAGCCAGCTCTGGAGGCGCTCTCCTAATCCCCCGCGAGAACAAGAAGAAGGTCCCACGCTCTATCACACCTGGCGACGAAGAAGCTCAAGCAAATGAGAAGAGCCCCAGAACCGACGGCGCCGACGAAAAGGCTACTGAGACCCAGGACTTGAGTGCCAACCTCATGCGCAACACCTCTGTCTTCACCTGGCGCAATCTATCATACGTTGTCAAGACTCCATCTGGTGACCGCACGCTTTTGGATAATGTTCACGGCTACGTCAAGCCGGGAATGTTGGGAGCCTTGATGGGCTCATCTGGTGCTGGCAAGACAACCCTCTTGGATGTATTGGCTCAGCGAAAGACAGATGGCACTATCCATGGAGAGATCCTCGTCGACGGCCGTCCACTTCCTGTTTCATTCCAACGTTCCGCGGGCTACTGCGAGCAACTCGATGTCCACGAGCCTTTCGCGACCGTCCGGGAAGCACTCGAGTTTTCCGCCCTCCTTCGTCAAAGCCGCGATACCCCACGCGAGGAGAAGCTGGCTTACGTCGACACTATCATCGATCTGCTCGAGCTACACGACCTGGAACATACATTGATCGGTCGTGTTGGAGCCGGATTATCGGTTGAGCAGCGCAAGCGCGTCACTATTGGTGTCGAGCTTGTTTCTAAGCCTTCCATTTTGATCTTCCTCGATGAGCCTACCTGTAAGTATATGTGACCACCTATCAAGTACATCGCTAACACTATCTAGCTGGTTTGGACGGCCAAGCCGCTTTCAACACCGTTCGATTCCTTCGCAAGCTTGCCGACGTCGGCCAGGCCGTCTTGGTTACCATTCATCAACCGTCCGCTCTGCTCTTCGCCCAATTCGACACTCTTCTGCTTCTCGCAAAGGGCGGCAAGACCGTGTACTTCGGTGACATCGGTGACAACGCTTCTACCATCAAGGAATACTTTGAACGATACGATGCTCCATGCCCTCCGGGTGCCAACCCAGCAGAACACATGATCGACGTGGTTACAGGTACACAGGGCAAAGATTGGCACCAAGTCTGGCTAGATTCGCCAGAAGCTGCACGCATGCACCAAGACCTCGACCATATCATCACCGACGCTGCTGGTAAAGAGCCCGGTACCACGGATGACGGCCATGAGTTCGCGACGAGTCTCTGGACACAAACCAAGATTGTCACCAACAGGGCCAACGTCAGCATGTACCGCAACGTCGACTACGTTAACAACAAGTTCGCCCTTCACATCGGTACCGCACTCTTGATTGGTTTCAGTTTCTGGAAGATTGGCAACACCGTCGCCGACCAGCAGCTCATCCTCTTCTCTCTGTTCAACTACATCTTCGTCGCACCAGGTGTTATTGCGCAACTACAGCCCCTCTTCATCGACCGTCGCGACATCTACGAAACACGTGAGAAGAAGTCGAAGATGTACTCTTGGATCGCCTTCGTCACCGGCCTCGTCGTCTCTGAGATTCCGTATCTCATCATCTGCGCCATTCTCTACTACGTCTGCTTCTACTACACTGCTGGCCTTCCTTCGGACTCCAACAAGGCAGGCGCCGTGTTCTTCGTCATGCTCATCTATCAGTTCATCTACACGGGTATCGGCCAGTTCGTTGCGGCGTACGCTCCGAACGCCGTATTTGCCTCGCTGGTCAACCCCCTCATCATTGGAGTCCTAGTCTCTTTCTGCGGTGTCCTTGTGCCCTATGCGCAGATCCAGGAATTTTGGCGCTACTGGATTTACTGGATGAACCCCTTCAACTACCTCATGGGGTCGTTGCTCGTCTTCACAGACTTTGATTGGGAGATCAAATGCTCCGAGTCTGAGTTTGCAATGTTCGATCCTCCAGCTGGCCAGACTTGCAGCGATTATCTGCAAGCGTGGATGGCTGGACCAGGCAGTCGCACGAATCTCGTCAACCCTGATGCTACTGCCGACTGCAGAGTCTGTCAATACACCAGAGGTAGCGACTACCTGTACACGGTCAACTTGAACGACTACTACTACGGATGGAGGGACGCAGCGATCTGTGTCATCTTCGCCATCTCGAGTTACGCGTTGGTCTATGTTCTCATGAAGCTGAGGACCAAGGCGAGTAAGAAGGCGGAGTGAGTGGGCGCCTTTGTGTTCTTGCCGCTTGTTGCTCAGGATAAATTGCCTATTTCTCGCTAATGCATCGGCGTTCTTGGTCAACGTTTGGAGTCTGGGCTTTGTATTCTTCTTCTGTTCATCTCTAAAAGTTCTATCTTTAGACTACTTTATACCTTACTTAGATATGGCATCTGATCCTAGAGCAGGGTCAAGCTTGCTATGTGTAATATATTGTAATTTCTTGCGAAAGCGTGTTTCCTAAACCATGCGGCGACCTTGAGCGGCTTCATAACTGCGAGTGTGCATTTGTGAAAGACTCAACCTAATACTTGAGGATCGATCTTGCTACCCAATGGCAACTAAAGCTTTCAGAAGTGAAGGCAGGCCTACAAGCCCGTACAAAGAAAATTTCTAGTTGACTGTCGTTCTTAGTGACTTTATACACGTGCACCGCGACAGCGCTAGTGAGTGAGAGAGTGAGACGCGGCTTCTCGCACTCCACAGCTCGACCCACCGACAACCAACAACCAACGCGACTTTCCCCAAACGCGTTTTTATAACGCGCCACGATACTCAATTGCCATCGCGCATTCCCTCAGAACCCATCGCGACCCTGCAATGCCCCCGAAAGCACGTACTCCTCGCGGCAAGGCCGCCGCCGCGGTTGAAGAAGCGCCTGTCGCATTGCCAATGAAGCGAGGTCGCGCCGCCAAAGCCGATGTCGTCGCCGAGCCCCCGAAGAAGCGCGGTCGCCCTGCGAAAGCACAAGCTGAAGAGCCCGTCGAAGCCGCGCCGGAGCCCAAGAAACGCGGTCGCCAGGCCAAGGTTGCGCCGGAACCCACTGTCGAAGAAGAAGCCGCAGCAGTAGTAGCAGTCAAGAAGGGCAGAGGAAGGCCCAAGAAGGACGCCGTCACTGTACAAGAAGAAGATGCGCCGGCCAAGAGTCGTGGACGCCCTAAGAAAGAGGCTGTTGCAGAGCAAGCTCCAGCTACACCCAAGCGTGGCCGTCCAGCGCGCGCTGCAGTCGACCTTCACCGCGTCGCTGGCTCCCCTCGCATCGGCAAAAGGTCGTCTCCTCGTAACACCAACAAGACCAAGCCCGAGCCCCCCGCTCGCCGCCTCGATCCTCGCATGCGATCCAAATTGCGCACGCGACTGCCAGCTAAGAAGAGCGAGCCAGTTCCGAAGCCAGCTCCGAAGCCAACTTCTAGACGTGGACGTCCGCCCAAGGCCGCTGCCGCTGCCGCTGGTATTGCTCCAAAGCAAATCACGAAGCCGTCGAAGCCCCTCGCCCCTCGCAAGATGCGCGGCCACACCGTGCGCCAAATCCCCGACCGATACATCGCGCAGATCGACCAATACCTCCACGACCTCATCGAAGCGGACGAGTCTCCTGCCGCAGAGGAGCAAGAGGACGGCGTAGTCGTTGAAGTTGAAGATGCCCAGGATGCGCTTGTGTCTTCAGAGCAGGATCGTGATCAATATCAAGAGGACAGTGACGGCGGTATCGACATGAACGGTCAACAAGACCTCATTGAAGACGAGGAAGACATGCAGGCTGTTGCCGCGCTGCAGCAGCAGGAGAGAGACGAGTACGCCGAAGACTCACCCGAGGAGGCAAACGATGACGAATTCCCCGAAGAGCTCCACGAGAACGACGAGCCTCAGTACCCAGACGAGGGCGAGAACGACGAGAACATCGAGCCGGTACACGACGACGTTGAGATGAGCATGCACGACGTCGAGATGGAGGCGGACGCGGATGGCAACACCCTCCTCACCACTATCGACACCGACATTGTAGTCCGCGACGATAGCCCTCCCCTAGATGTTGAAGACGATGTTGAAGAGGAGGATGGTCTTCTCAACCCGACTCCCCCCAGGCCTTCGGCGGCTGCTGCTATCTTCAGCTAGACGACTTGTGTCTGGCTGGAGGGTACATATCTGCTTTCGTTCTGGTTTTGCATTGCTGAGCAAGCGAAGTAGCATCTTCATTCTGGTATCACGTAGCTCCTGTACAAAGCTTTTCATTCTTTGCCGGGCATATGGTCAATGGGGCAAGCGATAGATTTACGGTCAGCCTGCTCGTCATCCTGACCACAGGGTTCGCGTTTTCGTCGCGAGACGCCTGTAGCGGCCTTCTGCTACACATGAATACACACTACCAACAAATCCTTCTTGCATGTAACAGTGGTTGCTAATGATTTGGACAGGTCATGCATCACAAGACGATAGTTAATTATACTTCGACTCATTCATCATCACGTTAACGTAAAGCACAGCAAACACTCTAGGACACAAATTGAAAACAACTTGGAAAACTTTACAATTACACCTGGGCTATAATACTATCCTACCACCCATACCGGCTTTTGAACTTTTGATACAGCGCGACTCCTCAACAACTCAATTTCGTCTCCGCCGTGCCCGGCCTACTCGGCCTACTCGTCTCAAACACGCCCCTTCTTCTCCTCACCTCCTCACCCATCATGCGCCAATCCGTCCAGCAATGAAACCCCAATCGATCGGCATCGTAACTAATGCGCGAAGATAGAATTCCCCTCGCCATGCTCATGGCCATGGCTGTGTCCGTGGCTGTGACCACCGCCAGAGGCGCTGTGGTTGTGGACAGTGGTACCGCTGGAGACTACCCTGGAGATCTTGGAGCCACCACGGGCTGCGCCGCCGCTGCTGGCGTGGTAGACGCTGCTGGCTGACTCTTCGAAACGCTCCATCTCGCGGCACTTCTCCTCGTACTTGGCCATGTACTCGTCGCGCTCGCGGTCGGCGGCGTGACGCGCGGAGATGGCGCGTTCCTTCTGTTCGCGGGCCTCGTTGAGCAGGGTGCGGAGCGAGGTTATCTCGAACTCGAACTCAGCGGAGGAGTCGTCGTAGGTGGAGATGGTCTCGGTGATCTCCTCGTACTTGTGCTTCCAGGCGTTGAGGTCGGAGTGCGCGCGGTCGCGAGCGTACTTCAGGTTGGTGATCTCGGTTTGGAAGATGACGAGCTTTTCCTGGAGGCTGCTGATCTCGCCGGTGAGGTGGCCGTGCTTGCCGCGCGAGTCTTCACCCTCACGGTAGAGGACTTTGTTGCGCTCGGTCAGAGTGTGGATCTCTGACTTGATCTCGGTGATTGTCAGCTCTGCGCGGCGGAGGGAGTCTTCCAAGTTGATGACGCGGCGGTGGCCGTCTTCCACCTTGCGGTGCTCGTCGTGGAGGTCTTGCTTGACTTGGTCGCGCTCAATGACAACGAGACGGTGGTCCTCGCGAGAACGGTCAATGGCGTCTCTGAGCTCCGTACGCTCGAGCTCAACGTCCCTCAACTTCTCCTTGACGGAAACAACCTCGCGCTTGATGTGCTCGTACTTGAGAGAGAACTCATTAGCACGGGCGTCGGACTCCTCCCAGCCTTGAACCTTGGCCTTGACCTCACGGCGGAGGTTATCAATGGTCAGAGCATGGTCATCACGCTCTGTCTCAATGATGCGGACAGTCTCCTTGAGCTTGTGAAGCTCACGCTGCACACGGTCGTGTCGCTCAGTGAGCTCAGTGTACTCGCGAGTAGTCTCGTCAACGCGGGATTTCGCGCGCTTCAACTCTTCGTGCAGACGATCCTTCTCGTGGAGGTGTTCGTCCCGCTCAAGCTCGAACATCTTGATACGGTCGGTAAGAGTGAGGACCTCCTTGCGAGTAGACTCAAACTTGGAAGTAGTCTCGTTGTACTTGCTCTTGAGCTCAGTGTGCTCACGATGAAGTGTCCTGAGCTCATTGTGGTGCTTGTCTGAGTCGAATCGAGCGGAATCGCGTTCGCCTTCACAGATCTTCAGCCTGGAGTACGCAGCCTCTAGCTCCGACCTGGTCCTCTCGTGATCACCATGAGTGAGCGTGATGGAGCTTTGAAGTTCGTGTAGCTCATGTCGGGTGTTCTCCAGGTCGCGGTCGCGATCGGAAAGCTTCTTCTTGTGGTCGGTCACTTGAGTAAGGGCAGCGTTAAGCTCAAGAACGAGCTTCTCCACCTGCCTCTTCCTCTCGCCGTGTTCATGACCATAATGCGAGTGTTCAGCTTCTTTACGCTGGATCTCTTCCGTCACCTCTTCGACGGTAATGAGAAGCTCATCCCTCTCACGAGAGAGACTGTCTCGCTCAGCCATGATACGAGACCATGACTCTTTGAGCGAAGAAGCCTCTCGGGAGGCGGTAGACATGAGGTCCATCAAGGCGAAGAATTTGCCCTCAGCTTGTGATGTGAGCTCTGTAGACATCTTGCTTCGATGTGACTGGAGGAAGCTGCTTGCTCGTCGAGAGGATGAGCTGGTCTGACGAGTCGTTCGACGTGTCAGTGATGAGCTGTGGCCGCCACCATTTGCTTGACTGGCGAATGAGAAAGATCGGTTGCCTGTGGGGGAGGAAGGCTCAGAAAAGACATCGCGAAGTCCACTGGCCTTGAGCTTCATGATGGTGAGCCTCTCGGGCGAGATATCGGCGGTGGTATCGAATGTGTCTGTCATTGTGATGGTATGAGGTATTGAGAGAGATGTGAAGATGTTTGAGATGTATGTGCTATGAGGGTGAGCGGAAAGTGGTACTTATGCTGTCAGTGCCGTCAACCAGCATCCTGCTCCACGTACCATGGTAGCGTATCACAAGCGGCACATCAATACTGCCATCGGTATAGTCAGCTCCTCGCATTAACCAGCTGGTCGTGGCTTGCAGCTTGGAGGTGTATTCCCACGTATGACGCAACTTTCTCAGAGCATTTGGCAAACTGGAGGAGCTATCCCAGCTGCCGTTCGATACGCTGCACTGTTACTGGAAAGGCACATGCAGCAACTTGGAACCATGCATGAGATAAGTGGGACCTCTTCATCAAGTGTCGGCGACTCAAGAGGTGGAGGTAACCATCGTAGCATTCAGCTTGAACGAGCACCGCCTAGGAGATCAGACCCGGCATTGCCATATGCAATGACGATCCTTCGTAGCGCACGTCGATGAGAGGGATTTTGGCCTTGCCGCTCTCGCTTGTCGGGGCATTGGACTGCATGATGGACTGGCTTACGACTGGATGATGTGATGCCATGCGCGGGTAGATCACCAGGGCTGGGTATCTCGATGCTGCAGATCGCAGATCATATATGGGGGCGGGCCGCGCTATAGCATCCTCGCCGAGTCGACAGCGCCATCGCTTGACCTCGCTTGCTTCTTTCGGCCGCTACATGACGCCAAAGCTTTCGATAGTCCTAAACGGGATTCCGTCTTCCAACGCGAGGGAAGAGCCGTGGGCCAATGGCATTGCCTGGCATGCTGGACCGGACCGCGGTCAGGCAATCGGAAACATCGGCCATGACCGAGCAATGGGATGACGAACGCCATTGGAGGGGAAGCTACACCGGTGCACGCCTGGCCATTACCAGTGTAGTGTGTCAGTGAGCGATGATCGAAGAGCCGGTGGTTGTAAGACGTAGCTCCAGATCGTGCGGCGGCTCTGAGGCATGGTTGACGCTAGCACATGACCCCGCCCTTGTCGATGAAGAAGCAACGAAGGAGCGGAGGAGTTCGCATCGCCAAACCTGCGTCGAGTCTGGAACAGAGACATAGCAAACCTATCGATTCCAGAGACGTTGGTAGGAGATGTTCAAGCACCAGCAGGAACTTCACCCGTGCTTCAAGCATTTTCCTAATGCGGGTCTCGGTTCTGCACATCGTACCCGCACTTGCAGCGACGTCACAGCTAGACGAGAATTCGGGAAAGAGTGATCAAACGAACTCATCGCACGTGCGATGGAGGTGTCCGCTAGTCTGTACCGATCCTGCATGTCCTTTCTCATACGTCTTGCGTTTTGACTAGCGCGACACGGCCTTTTCAACCTCATTTCGTGCGCGTGCATTTCTTCAGTGCCAACACCGATTGTCTTCCACCGACATTACAATGATAATAGGGTTGCATGAGACACGACTTGTGTATACCAAAACATGTGTTTCTCAGGAACGAGGCCTCTTCTTATCGAAAAATGTCTTTGCGAGAAGAAGTGACTTGATTGAGCCCATCTGTTTATTTGTCCAGTCGTGAAGGCAAGTTATCGATCAAAAGAGAAGAAACAGTACCAGCATGTCTCACTTGGATGAGTAGCCGGGACCTTTACAAGTCATCTCAAACAAACGGCCTTGCTGGACAGTGTACGGTCGCAATATCATGGATTGAAGAAGTTAATATATTCGGAAGTATGCTCACGGTGAGATTCGCGCGGACATGTGGCGAAAAGTGCCCTGCGTCGCCGCTGCCCAAATCTGAAACGATGTCTGCTTTGAAGATCGAGTTCGTAAGAGCCGGGAACGGCAAGCCCGGACGAAACGAAGACTGACGTCTTTGTTCGAGCATCCGAATCCAGACGTTACCGGTCACATTTTGCGCTTGTTCTCGGTAAGGATCGATATCTGAAAGAAGTCTGAAAATGGTGCTCGTATCGCAGATATGATAAAGGTGTCTAAGGTAAATCGCATGCTGTGCGTCAAGAACGACACTCCGTTCTTTACATCTCTCAGACCATCCCTCCCTTTTTGCACTCACCTACCTTCCCGATACACACGCCGTCATGAAACTATCCCTCACCCCCATCTTCGCGCTTTCACTCCTCACTACATCCATCGATGCTTACGAATTCAAAACCGGATCAGGAGTTTGTGCCAAGCGTTATGAAAAATGCACAGAACCATGGGTTTACCTTTGTGAATGTAACTCGGGCTGGATTGTAAGTCTTCCATATCTTATACGAGGTTGCGCACGCGCTTATTGTTGTCAATACAGGTGCAGTGTAGTGGTGGCGGGACCCGCTTCGATCCAACCCCTGTGAAATGGATGCCTCTTCTTGACTGTCCAAAGCCGGACAAGAAGGGAGGGCTGCAATGTGTTTCTGGGATGTGCACTAAATGGCGGCCTGACCTGCTATCGATTTAGAGCTGTTCTCATGTTGTTGGTAAACGAATGCCGGCGGAGTGTGGTGTAATTGCGAACTCAGACAGTGATTGGTTTGCTCTTACACAGTTGTAGCTTGATGGAACTCGACTTATTGTATGGGTTCGCAGTCGTCCTATCGATGTTGTTTTGTTGCCTTGCGTCTAGTACATAACGAGATACCTGATGCCGTCGTGAAGGCCACATGTATTGACGACATACGGTACCTAGATAAATGGTATTGTGTGGGACAGATTTCGCCGTTTATATGAATCAACAAAGTTGCGCAAACATGTGACGTCATTACGACAGGACGCTGACACATGTAAGGTGGCATCATGCCCAGGAGTTTATTGCTTTCCCTCCCCTTTGACTCACACCTGTGTGCGATTCCATCTCTTAGTTCCATCCACTTTATCCCATAGTACTGCGATAACGCAGAGCAAAACGAGCCACTCACGACTTCCGCAACATCAACGACCTTAACGAAAAGATACTCTCACGAATGAGAGAAATCGCAAGTATAATACACTGTCATGCCCAGGAGTTGTTGAGGAGACAGGGCCAAGTCTGATCCCCATGGGCATTCGGGCAGGGCTGCTCACAGGTTCGCCCTCACAGAGTACCTAGGTACGCGAAAATAAATGATGGGCGTGCTTGCACAAAGGCTTTAAACTCAGACAAGGCGCACCCTGATCTAGATCGTGTTCAACACGCATGACGAAGAAGCAGTACGGTCGTTGGACACCTGGGCATCGTGTCGGTGGCGTTCGGCTTAACTTCGGCCTTGAGACCTCGGGACGGCCCCACAACTAGCGAGGCTTGGGCTGTTTCAATTCTGCCCTTTACCGCGAGCCGCGAAATTTGGCGCACCTCCCAAAGATATCACGCTCACCAAGTCTTTAGAACTCAAGCTGCCCAACGACCGATAGAAGAACGCGTGCGATTCACTTCGGAAATTAATTCGCGACGGTCGGGAAGGTGCGAACCGCACTACGCACTGTGAGAACGTCAGTCTCTCGGTACAACAAGGAACCGGCCAAACTCGTTGTCATCCGTCTGTTCTACTGCGCTTCTGCCATCACGCCCACCGAAGATATTGGAACCCGAAAATGTCGTTGTCGCCAGAACCCTCATCCATGCCACCTTGTTCCGAGCACGAGTACATTCGTTGCATGAAGGGATCCGATTGGGACACAGAGAAACACAAATTACAAGGCCGAGTCCGTCGTGTTAATCTGAGTCGAATAGTGCCTGTCTCAGGGTGAGTCGGAATAATCAGGATGTATGAGTTCCGAACACTGTCGCTCACATTTTGATCAGTGACATTATGAGGTCATTGAAGTTTCAGACGGGATGGCTGCAAATGCTTGAGATCGCCCATAGCACAGCCGATATGTCAGACAATGATGTCCTTGAATTGGTCTCACGTAACAATGGGCTACGCGAAATCCTCCTGATGAACAGCAACTTAACTGACAAATCAATTGTTCATATTCTTGGACATTGTCCAGATATTGTAAGCATCTCGATTGGCAATTTTGACAAGAATGGGCGGGTCAGAGGCCATTTTGCATCATACATGAACAAGCAGGAAAACCTACACAAATGGGAGAACTTGAAAAGCTTCGGTTTTTCCAATCAGCCACTCGACAAGGCGCACATTAGAAGCATGCTCAAAAAACGACGGAACCTACGAATCGATCAGATTCAGATGCCCAGCCCCGAAGTAGTAAAATCTCTCACGGATGCCGGTATCTCACCTGGCAACAAGCAACTAGCAGAAATGTTTGCCGAGGACGATGCTGAAGTGTTAAGAGTCATACCTGCTGCATCTTTCTGGAGAGAAGGCAAGATTGTAGGCCCAGACATGGTGGCTTTGGTGCGCTTGGAACAGACTCGGTTGGATGCTATCCGACGGTGCAAGGCTGAGCTTGAGGCTGAGGAGGCTGAGGTGGAGGCAGAAAAGCTCACTGAAGAACCAGAGAGTCGTAGAAAGCGGACTCTGGACCCGGCCTCTCCATCATCACCACGGCCAGCTCGAAAGGTTGCAAGACGCGAAGTTTCCGATCTCCGTCACGAAGAAGATGCAAGGCAGGCCGACAGGACGAGTAGCACAAACGTCAACGAAGCGTCATCAAGTATGGAAAACACCTCTGGGAACGCCAACGCAGGCAGCAGCTCTGACGGAAGCGCCTTGACTAAGAGCGTCATCAAAGAAGAACCTTTGGACGGGGACAGCTTCGGAGTGAACTATGAGGCAGCCGAAACTCACGGAGGAGATGCCTTGGACGAGGAGGAGGATGCTGTAATGAGGACTGTAATCAAGAGAGACGATAGTGTATGACCAAAGCCGATTTCAATGAAGGGATATATTCAGAGTGTTTCAGGTGGCTTTTACTTCAATAATGAGAGCGCGCAAGCGTGCCGACAACTGAGAGCAAATTGAGTGATGGCGCCCTGGAAGCGCTGGTATGACATCATCGTTTTGTAGCCTGGACTTATCCGGCAGGCTCTATCGTCAGCTCTATACGAGCTCGAGAGCGAGTAGACTCCTCCAGGGCTCTTATTCTACATTGAACGCTAATAACATTGTCTCTTTCGTGTTCCGAGAGCACGATCTGTGCAGACGCTTTTCGGTTCCAGTTGCGGCCAGGCATCCTCGGGGCCCATACTAATTACCGGTACCCCCTGCCCAACGGGTCCGGCTGTTTCGGGAAGGTTCGCTCCTGCAGGCCGAGGAACCTCAACATGTCGACAGTCACCAGTCGCTCAACACCAACCACTAATGAAATAACGGCGCGGTTTGCATCTTCGTGGTTTGACTTTTTAATTCGCATGCGATAAGTAATACACTTGGCCCCATTCACTGAACTGGCCTCTTCCGCACCACACGTTCAAAGCTACGCACTTGCCAACATCGAGTAATGTCGTTAGCAGCGGCAGCACCTCGCTGGTCGATTGAGACAGTGCCTGAGGAACAGCGCATAATATGTCGTAGCTCGAAAGACTGGGATTGGGGAAGAGAAAAGAAGAAACTACTGCGGGGTTCAGTGAAAGACATCCGTATAGTATGCGACTTTCACCTATCGCGGTATGTTCAGACGACAAATTATATAGCCTAAAGTCACGACTCACAACCCTATTAGTGCGATCAAGACTTCGCTAAAGCTTCATACTGGCAAATTACAGCGCCTTTGGTTGTATGACAGGCGAGGCACTCTCTCTGATAGAGACGTGCGCGCGATTGTTACACGGAACTACTGGCTGCTCGACATCAACTTATATGCACCGAACTTGACCGATAAGTCAATTATTGCCATCCTCAAACATTGTCCACGCATCGCAGCTATCCGAATCAATGGCTTGTCTGAGGCCTCCGGACGGGTCAAAGGCCATTTTGTTTCTTTCATGAACATGCGGGAAAATCAGCACAAATGGGGCATGTTGAAGAAGTTACGGCTGAACTACCAACCGGTTGTAGAGGCACAGGTGAGAAGCCTCTCCAAGAGAAGACCAGACATAGTCATTTCGCAGAGCATTAGGGTTCCTCCCCCTGTGGAAGAGTCGCTGTCAAATGCTGGTATTGATATACCCGTCCCGGCCAGAACTGAGTGGCGCAGAGGGCATGTTGAGGGTATAGATTGGGTGGCATTAGTGCGCAGAGAGCAAACGAGGCTGGACGATTTGGAACAGCTTGCGTCACAAGTTCGAGAGGAACGGGAGCGACAGAGGGCATACGAGCAAGAACAGCTTGCGACACAAGTTCGAGAGGAACGGGAGCGACAAAGGATATACGAGCAAGAACAGCAGAGGGAAATCTCAAGGCTACTTGCTAAGAGACGAGCCCAGGCGCAACAAGAGTTAGCCATCGCTAGATCGCACGTCGATTCTGAGGAAAGTGATGCAGAAGATTCCGAATCAGAAGAAGACTGTTCAGAGGAAGCAGAATCTGGCGATGATAATCTGGAGGATCTTGATGCTAGACGTTTAGGAGGTTATGGAAACACTTCAGAGGAAGAGGGAGACTCAGAAGCCGATGAACTTGAGGAAGAGGAAGACACCTTGGTAGAGGAAAATGAAGAAGCAGACGAGCTCGAAGAAGCTACTGAAGAAGAGCGCTCGGATGGAGAAGATTGTTCCCTAGAAGAGACCGACGGGGAAGAGGAAGAGGAGGACGAGGAGGAGGACGAGGAGGACGATGAAATATATCAAAACGAAGAAGACGCGCGTCCCTCGATCAAGGCCGAAAGAAATGCACAGATTGCAGACCAAGGGATCCCCAGTACACAATCCAGATATTGGGTCCCCAGGGGGCGGAACACAGGAGCAACGATAAAACAAGAAAGTCGCCTTAGTGTGGCGAGGGCTCTACCAAGAGAACCGGCATCGATATCTGCCGATGAGGATGATGACATGCGCATCGCAAATGGATCTCAATTCCAAGACGAATGGCAGCTGAACGACCGCATGGAGACGGATTCTAAAGATGAGCTATTCGACCGGATCAAAAGCGAAAGTAGAATACGTGCACAAGATGCCGCACGCTTCGAGAACGACATCGAACGCTCTAATGTTGTCAAATCGTATTATCCATGCAATCCCCGTCCACCCATCGCGTTTGCGGATTCCGTCACACTCAGATTTGTCAGTCCTGAGGATTGGGAGCGACGATGGCAGAGGGCGCAGCGTCGCACGGGCATACGCATGGTCATTTTCGAACCAAGCTTTGCTGTCACTGTGTAAGTTGTCTTCGTCTGTCATTGCATCTATCAGTAGCATACTGATCCCAAACAGCACCGACATCAATATGCTAGCTTGGTCACCAGCAGCATTTAGTTCATCCATTCTCGCGATCCGTGTGGGCAACGGTGCCCTGCTAGACGACCAGTCTATTACCAACCTCGCCGCAAATATGGCGCAGTTAACGCAGGTGCAAATCGATTTGGCTCCAAATATTGGTGACCAATCCATCATGAGTCTTATTGAGTTCTGTCCGGCCATTGAATACATTGAAGTATGTGGGGATGTACCCACGAGACGATCTGGTGGTGTGACTTTGCGTAACCTCGACGCGATATTGATTGCAAATGAAGATAAGACCCAACGTCTTCGTCATTTGGTGCTCGTAGATCAGCTGGTGGAAGACAAGAGCGTGGAAGCCTGCGAAAACTTGCGAGCAAATCTGAAAATTATACGTGGACATCAGACACGAGAGGAAATTGTGCCGGGAGGCAGGGCTTAGCGCGCGGCTAGATACGCAAAAAAATGTCATTGTATTAGATACTATAGATTATCATACTTATCAATCCAACGCGAATCTTTGTGAGTCGCGGTCGGCCAACGGCACCACATTGTAGTTCAAACGCTGTACATAATAGTCGTCCTCAAGCTCGTGCGCTCGAGGTTTTCGTTGCACCTGGCCTAACAGGATTGGCCGGAGCCCTTTCTTGAAGTTGTAGAAGCAAACGCAGCCGGCCAGGAGAGCACTCGTCGAGAAGACCACCCCTACGCAGAGATAGAAAACCATCTCATCCTTCAGTAGAGTATCAGCAAGTAATGAGTGCCCGTAGAGAACGAGGAGTCTGCTGATCAGGTATGCGATATTTGCGGCATGGAGAAGCTGTGAGATGGGGCGTTAGCGCGTGCCAGTCCTTTCGAGGTTGAGCGACCTACCAAAACAAACGCCATTCCAATGCGACGCTCATGCCTGACAAAATATACTGCAATAGCCACGTGTACAAGAGTAGCCGGGATGATTGAGATCGTCAATGAGAACTCGGGCTCCTGGAAATGGACGTCGATGAAATCGTAGAAGATTATGAACGCGAAAACGAAGTAGGGTGTAAACTTGAGAAGCACGAGGTATATCTGTGCTTGTGTGAGTATGGTCAGGCAAAGAAGATGACGCAAGTCTTACCTGGTAGACAGCGTATTTTGTTTGTATCTTCTTGTCAGGGCTGACATGCTGGTATAAAGCCCAAGAGAACTCACGGTATAGGCCCCTCGCTAACAGGCACATAATGGCACTGCTGACACATGTGACCACGGTACAGACCATCAAGCCAGGTGAGATCTTCTTCCAGAAAGGCCAATCAACATCTGCGAATGGAGTGCCGTACATGTCGTGATTAACGAGAATCCTAGATACTGCATGTCTAGTCTCGCCATATTGAAGAACCGTCGAGATTGAAAGGCATGTGTTGGCGGCGCATTGAACGAACACCTGAATGTGGTTCTTGATCCGGTATGCGTCAAGTGTCAAGATGATCTGGAAGAGACATCCCAATGAATTGACACACAAGGTCAGAGGGATGACATAAGATATCGGAACCTGGTATGCGACCGAGTTTACCCAATTCAAGTACGTGACAAGAATGACTCTAGGTCTAGTTAGACAGTTCATCTAGCGAGTGAGTTATGCGGGGAAATACGAACGTCTGTATCGTAATATTCGTAATCGCCTGAACTGTCGTAGTGCCAAAGAAAAACCATTCCAGTCTCGTCTCCGGCCGCCACGATACCATCGTTGTTGCGTCTCCCCGATCGAGCTGCCCACGCGCCCAAAGAGGTAATGGAAACGAGTGTGATGTGAATCAGCCACACCGGGGCAGGGTACAAGCGGTGGGTATGTGTGCGACGGGAGAATCTTTTTAGCAGTCTCGAAGGATCATGATAACGCGTGGACAGAAGCAAAAACCTTCTAGTTCCATGGATAGTCTGGCATTTTCCGGGCTTGGGTCCGCTAGGAAGGGCTAAATACGGGAAAGGAGCTTCCGCACTACGCCGCATTCAGCCGAACGTCGACCATTGCAGCTGACATTGACGCTACGCCATCCCAGACTTCTCACGGCGAGCAGTCCCGGAACCTTGATGGACGACATGATTGAGTGGTCTATGAAATTACTATCACGATACGAGGTTGGTGCTGTGGGAGGTGTGGGGGGATTTGGGCTAGTCGCTTTTTCTGTTAGCGTGACAGCCTTCATGCAGGCTGTCTTCCGAGGTCTCGTCTCATCAACCCGGCCTTGCGACACTTGAGGTTCAGGACAAAATCACAGCGATATCTCGCTTTCAGTGTTGAGAAGACACCAGCTATCGCGATGTTCATCCACCCAATACGCCTTTGCTCTGTTATGATGATTGAAAGTTCTGTTCTAGACATGCCCCACGCACGACGCGCAAACCGTGGGTCTTTTCGCCACCAGGGGCACAAAGCTTGCCGAGAGCTGTTCGAGAGAATCTATGAACCGTGAAATCTCGAAGGCCAGACGCATTCCAAGGTTTGCTTTTGAGACACTTGTCGAACTCAGGGAGCGGCTGAAAGATCAAGCGACCTCTACACCAAGGGAGTTTAAATCATCTATAATCACGCTCTCATACCTCGTTCCATCATCTTTTCTCCCGCTACCCACAACGCGATATGAGCACCCAAAACTCTCACCTGCAGCTCCACTGGCAAAGGTCTATACCACGCCTTCCTGAGGAAGAACACTTGATTCATCCCCCTCTTCATCTTTCGAGTCCTCGAGATTGTCTTGTGGCCCAATACACGCTTCATCCCGTCTGTGGTGAACTACAAACCGCCCATGCCTTGTGCTGCAATGGCGAGCCACACCCTTGTAGTACCCCGGACACTTTTCACGCTCCCAACGGTTACTATATTGCTTGCTCCCTAAACATTCCTGGATTTGGAGTGTACAACTGGAACTCCGGAGTCTGCTATCCACACCCACTAGCTCGCGATGTTCCCAAGCAACCTCAAGCGCCGCAAGAACCAGCACAGCACCATGGCCATGCAGCAGATACGAACACATTAAAACGGAAATGCGAAGACGCAGAGTACCCAGGTGCTACCGGACCAAAGTTGCCCAGAATCGATGAGTATGCAGCGACTGCCGAACGAGTACGCAGCGAAGAAGTCTATGGGGTCGGTTCCAACGAGGATGCTATGTTCTTGGAAGAAAATCCGGTGCTGAAACGAAATAGGGCGGGTCCAGTACTGTCCGATCCAGCTCTGCACAAGATTAACAGGACTGCAGCTCCTGTGGTTTACCCGGGCTTTGCGCCCCTGCCTGTAAACAACGCGCCACATGCAGCAGCGATTGTCGATCAAGAATCTAGAAGGTATTCCCATGAAGCTCATGAGGGCCGAACCGAGACAACAACCGCGGCATTTGACGATGCACCCAGTGCTAGCGAAAATGTAGCTTCTATCTCGGGAGGAGATGAAGGCTACGATAGCGGAAGCGGGAATGAAGTGTCACACCACCGGGGATATCAAGATTTGAGAACGTTACATTTTTGGAGTGAAGCAGACTGGAAAGATTCATGGTGTGAGACTGGATGTGGTCAAGGCATTGAACTATTGCACTTTGGACCTGACTTTCCTGTTACCGAGTATGTATTCAAATGCCCAAGTCCTCGTGAGTGAAGCAGTACTAATTGCCTTTTCAAATTTAGTGAAGTCATCCGATATATCGCGGCGACAGCTTCCGTGGACGACAAGATGATCAGCAGCATCTTCGTGATACGCTGTGATAATACCAGCATGCTCACCGAACGCGGCATTCTCGCCATCACTCGCGGATTTCGTGCACTCGAGGACATAGTCCTTTACGATGCACGGTTGCTCACCAACACTTCGATACTTCACTTGTTGAAGCGATCCTCCAACCTCCGTCGCATCCGCATGGCGCGCGAGTCTGAACGTCCAAATCCACTCGTCTGTCGAGTCAGGATTCTCGAACGCAAGCTTTTGAACCAGGAAAACCGTTGGCCCCATTCATTTATGCCTTTGCTCTCACGGTTGGACGAAAGCCCTAGCTATCCGCCTGCTATTGCATTTGCACTCAGTCTCACGAATCCAAGATTTCACATCGAAAGATCACCGATGAATGAACATCGGGTCAGCCCAGCATGGGAAGCTGAACACAAGTTGAATCAGCGAAACACTCATCAGTTCTTCAAGAGGAAGCCGTACTATTATTCTTGGATAAGTGGCCTTAGGTCATACCATAGGAACGACGTTGGCGATCCAAGGAAGCCGGCCTGGGATTGCGTAGAGATCCATATATAGCGCTAGGTGTACATTGTATGCTGTTGTTGTATTCGGCGAAGCCACACACATTGTATGTCACAAACCTAAGAGGTGTTGTCGCGACAAATACTGCAACTAACATCTGTTGCGTTCATGATTTGCGTGATAAAAGAGATTGAGTTCCCGGGGTTTCATGCTGGGCGTGCTGCGCCAGCATGCACGAGTCGGATCGTCCGCGACGTGTTTCAGCCTGGTCGCTATCTAGATACACCAAAATCGCTGGACATGCCCAAGTAGAGCTTATGACGCCACAACAATTGTTCCATGATCTATGGATCGTTTACACTGATAACTGAAATCGTTATTGCAACTACAAGGGACGATTAGACGTAGCGTGAACTCAGTTCATACCTAGGTATCTTGAGGCAGAGGGCAAGTGGTGGCTCTGCAGCCGTCAAAGCTGACCCCGGTCGCAACGCATTGTCACTCATCGAAATCTGGAACACATCGTAAACCTCAGGAAGACCACAAGGTTGCGGCAGCATTTTTGAGACAAGAGTCGAATATATACGCTAGCAGTGCGCACTTCTGCTCTCGCTCATTTCCTAAAATTCAACTCTCGCAAATCGAAAATGGATCCACCACCGCACACCTTGCATCCGCAGATGCGCGTTGGCCCTGAGAGCCCATACATTCCACAGCCTCTGCGGGTCCTACCAGCCCTACCCCTACCTCCAATATGGACGCTGCTCCCTAGCCAGCAAGTCGCGGTCCCGCAATATGTCCCGGTTCCGTATCCTGTGCCAGTCCCTTATCACATCCCAGAATCCTACTACTCAGCGGTACGTTAGACTCATATGCCATTTTAAAGGCGCGTGCTCACTCATATGCAGGTTCCGTACCAAGTACAACATCATCTTCCAGGCCAACCAACCTTGAAGCGGAAGAATTCGTTTCCCGAATCATTTGATTCTCATCAGCCCTACAAACAACCTAGAATTGAAGCGCCGATAGAAGGCTATGCCTACGAAGCGGAAGCAGGAAGAGTAAGCGGTGAAGACAGGCACCCAGAGGAGAATGAAGCAGGCGTTCCGGTACCCGAAATCCTGGCTGCAGAAGTACACGACAGCGGCAATGATGATAACCACGAAATCAATCCCCCAGTGCTCCCCGCGTTGGCACATCAGCCCGTCCAGGATGAACCAATTTTATCGGATGTTGATGAAGCATACGACAGCGAAAGCAGTGCTGGCGTCGCATCGCTCATTGATGAGGAGGACTCTTCCGATGACGAAGGACCCCCAAGAGCTCCACTCAGTCCAAATCTCGCGCAAAATGTTTGGGTGAAGTACAGGCAGAGAAAGTATCCATTCGAGAAAGAAATCGCGTTCATGGACGAGGAGTGGTGGGCTTACCATTGGTGCGAGAAACGGCCCAGTATCCAAAAGCAATGTGTGTTCTTCGGACCCAATTTCGAGGCGACAGAGTAAGTTGCCAGACCGCTCTGCATCAAATCCCTTTGAGTAACACCAGTCGCAGATCTCACATGAAGGACCTCGCCGTACTCTTGGGTGGATCTGTGTTGACGATGTTTGTCTTCAACGCCAAATCTCTATTTGATTCAGGCGTCTCAGCACTGGCCAGATTCAACCCCAAACTCGAAGAGCTTTCACTTTTGAACCCGTCCTTTGTTTCCGACAAAGGTCTAGCCCATGTTGTCAACCACTGCCCGAACATTCGCAAGATTACGTTCGCATGGTCTGAGGATGGCAATCCAGCAGGGAATAGCTGGATCACTCTTCGTAGTCCTGGGCTTCTTCAAGCGTTTCGAGACGAGAAAAATGCCAGGAGGCTACGATACTTGCACATTTCGAATGCTGTATTCGATCACAAGGGCGCCAAGTTACTCTCAAAGATAAGACCGAAATTACACATCTTGGGTTGCTTGCGCACTTGGGATTGGCAGAGTCAGGAAGTACAGACAGTGCAAGCTATCTCGAACGGAGGGTTGGCATACGGCTGGAAGTGTGGGAAGAGACTAGATGCTATGGATTTCTGGAATGAGGCAAGCACTGAGGATCTGGCTGATGGCCGTGAGATAGAGGATGACGACATGAAGGCCGACGAATTGGTGCAGTATAAGAGAGAGTGCATGGAGCAGGGTGTAAAGTACGTGCCGATGTACTAGGAAAATGCCATTCGATGTCACAGTAGGACGTCAGTAGACTTCCCAGATGAAAACAGACTTCTTCAGTTGTCAAGAAGTGGTGTGGATATACATGTAGTTGCATTCCAAAAGTCGCGCGAAGAACGAACATACCTCTATACATACAAATATTATGCCATCTAATTAGCTGCGCCGTCGCGGCTTCGGTTGAGAAGTTCCAGCATTCTACGCCGTAACATCACCGCTCTTCGCTCGCTTCGCGTCCCTTTCCTCGCCAGCATTTGCCTCGGCCCGTCTTTTACCCTCGTCCTTCCTTGCAGTATCCTTCTCTTCCCGCGCAACACGCCGCGCCTCCTTGTCCTGCTTCTCCTTTTCTTTCCGAAGAGCCTTGCTCTCGAACTCGTGCCAGTCACCCTCCAGCTCCTTCAGCGCGTCGGCACGTTTTGGTGGCGGGGCTTCGCTCGTGAAGAAAGGATGCTCGAGCACGTCGGCGGCGGTGGGTCGCGCATTGGGATCGAACAGGAACATTGCCTGGAGAAGCTCAAAAGCCATAGGACTAACACGGTCCTTGTACTTCTCCTCAAAAGTCGACTGTTTTCGCTCGGTTGGCCGTAGCAGTTCAAACCACTGCATGTCGACAATGCCAGGCCAATCCTGCACAGTGGGCGTGCCGAGTATGTTGTAAATTTTGTCCAGCTGATTGATCTCGCCGCCATCGCCAGGGAAGATAGCGTGCCGGGTAAAGATCTCGACCAGTACGCAGGCAGCCGACCAGATGTCGACTGCTGGCCCATACTGTGTTTCTCCCAGCAACAGCTCCGGTGATCGATACCAGATGGTAATGACCCGGTTGGTGTAGTCGAGCTTACTGCTTTTCGCGTAGAAACGTGCAAGACCGAAATCTGCCAGTTTCAATTGTCCGGTATTGGATACAAGGATGTTCGCAGCCTTAATGTCTCGATGTAAAACGCCGCGGCGGTGGAGGTAATCCAGGCCTTCAAAGAGCTGTTTGGCCAGGTCCTTCTTGTGTGCTTGTTCGAGCTTGAAGGTCGGGTGGTTCAAAAGACCGGTAAGATCGTGGGAAAGGTATTCGAAAACCATATAGCAGTCGTTCTTCTCAACCATGACTTCTCGGAGATTAACGATGTTGGCGTGATTAAGAGATTGCAGAAGTTTGACCTCACGGATGGCCGTAACGGGGAACTGGTAGTTGTTAGCGTTATGTCACTGCCTAGCACTGGGTGTTCTTACGCCATCGCGTTCGCCCTCCATACGAATCTTCTTGAGAGCTACCATATCCTTCGTATAGACATGGACTCCCTTGAAGACCTTTCCGTAGGTGCCGGATCCAACCACCGATTCGTTACCGGGCTTCCGGTAATATACAGACTCTGAAGCTGCATGTTCAGGGACCAGCGTAGGCCGAGGTTTCATGCGCTTCCTCATAACGATCTTAGTCTTGGGTATATGAGGGGGTGGTGACTTTCGCACTGGTCGTGTGTCAGGCCGTGGGTCGAATCGTCTATCGTCAGGTCGTCGGGGTGGGTATGGTTCTCTACGATCTCTCGGATCGCGCATATCTCTGGGATCGCGGTCACGGGTATCGCGCGGGTCTCGTGCATCTCTCGGATCTCGCATATCTCTGTCTCGTGGGTCTCGGAAATCTCGCTCTTTGCCGCGATAGTAGGGCTCACGCGTGTCTCGTAGATCTCGAGTGTCTCTATCGCGAGGGTCTCGATAGGCAGGTTTTCGATCGTAGTAGTTGTCATATCGACGATCTCGTTCCCTGTTGTCTCGGTCGCGGCCACTGTCGTAACCTCTGTCCCTCGCGTCCCGATCCCGATCGCTTCGTGCTTCTGAGTGACGCGGGGAAGCTTCACGTGCCGCTGCCGCTGCCGCTGCCGCCTTTGCTTTGGGGTCAAGAAGAGACTCTTTGGAAGCAGGCGCAGGCTTCTCAGGCTCTTCCACTCCAGGCTTTGCTTTGCTCGCTGGTGGCACAGGATTCTTGGTCTTCAACGAAAAGCCAAATCCTGACTTGGGTGCTGTCGGTGCCTTTGAAGGTGCCATCCTCTTGTCCTCTTTGGAACCCTCGTCTTCTACACGCAGATCTTTGGATGGGCGGAAGGGGTTGTCATCAGCATCCACAGATGCAGAGTCGGCAGGTACTTGCGACGCGACAGCGGGCTGTGGGCGTGGCGCTTCAGTGGCTGGGCGGCCGCCTCGAGTGCCTGACGCTGGCGTCCATGACAAGTTGGAGAATTGGGTAGGCGCGCCACGCCCTCGTCCGCCTGGACCGCCAAACGGTGCGTTTGCGCCAGGACCTGACATTCGGCGGTCGGGGCCGTTGAAGTTGTTGCCGCGGTAGCCGCCATGTCCTCCGCGATGGGGGCTGTTCTGGAAGCCAGGTTGTGGGTACGGTTGGTTTGGGTAGTAACCTGGAGATTGGTTCTGATGGTAAGGAGATTGATTTGGGGTATAGCCATGTGTGGGAGACCTGATGATGTCAGCATGTGGATGACCGAAGGCCGATGGGATGGAAACTAACCCTTGATTAGGATACGGTGGACCATTCCAACCGCCTCGACCGCCGCCATGATATGGCGATTGATTTTGGGGGGAATATTGATTTTGGGCAGGGTACGGTGGTGATTGCTGGAAGCCACCACGTCCCTGGTAGTGATACGCTCCCCTCATCTTGCCGTGGTCTTCCCGACTTTTGGATGTGTCAGAGTTGTAACCTGATCCCGGCGCGGGCGAGCCTCGACGTGAGGCGACCCTGTCTGTTCCTTTATCCAGGCGTTGACGCGGCCTCGATGTAAGAGAGGGCGAGCGGGATGGACGGCGTCGAATGGGCGGGCGGGGCGAACGACTTCTGCGCGGTGATAGTCTGGCTCGGTGGGTATGGGGCGGCGAATTCCTGCGAACTGGGCCTGGAGATCGCCTCCGGGGCGGACGAGAGGGAGATCGAGCACGTCTGGAATCTCGACTGCGACTCCTTGCCCTGTCGCGAGTAGTATAGGGCTTGTAGGACCGTTCACCGCGGTTGTCGAAGGGTGAAATAGGTCTTCGATCAGTTCTCCTAGGCGACAGTCTCCGAGGCGGTGTTCCACGCCTAGATCTCCTGTCGAGTGAAACTGATCTTTTCCGTGCACGATGAGCCACAGGTCTGTAGTGTGTATCGGCAGAGGGCGACCGGCGGCGAGTCGAGGTGGACGGGAAATACGTGTCGGGCGTGGTTCGTCGAGGTGGTCGATCGCGGTCTGAACGCTGAGCTCGTGGGGAGTATGCCCTCGCAGCAGGCCGGTCCGGCGAAAGTGCACGTCGTGGCCTCGATGCAGAGCGTATTGGGCTGCGACTGCCCTGCCGTTTCACGCGCTTGGAGGAGCCTCGTGGAGATGGAGAACGCGGGTGGTGGCGTTTCGACGATGGAGTTGTGTCGCGATGGTGGTGGTGATGCCGATGCGAGTGGGCAACCCTGTCTGCGCTGGCTTCCCTCTTCGAAGCTCGATGGCGGTCCTCCCCAGAGATGCTGCGACTGCGCCGACGCGCGCGCTCTCTGCTCAAACTTCTTTCGCGTGAACGTCCCCGTGCGTGTCTGGCCGATGAATGCGTGTGGGTGTCGTGTGCGCGGTGTCTGGGAGAATCTCTGGCAGCTCGTGGCACTGGTGACGATGTTCTGCCCTCGTTGTTCCTCTCCCGTGACCGGTCCCTAGATCGCTCTCTGTCCCTACTAGACGAGTCCTCTGGTCTCCACTGGTCTATATCCTGAGCCCGTCGCAGGGCAGCCATAGAGGCAGGAAGGGCATCAGAAGGCGCAAGGTTGCAGCATCAAGAGGTCCGCGGGTCAAAGTGCCACGGCCTAACCGAACAACAAGAAAGTCCGGCACCCTGCTCTCAGCCTTACGAAGCAGTAGTAATGAAAGCGAGAAACAACAAGAGAATCGGCTGCGACTGTAACACACTCCTCAATGCGCTGCCGTTGATGCGCTTTCGATGTTGCTGTCGTGGCCGCAGACGCTGCGCATGCAGCGCCTTCTCGCTCGTCGGTCTTTCGCCTGCCGCTATCGACAACGCCAAGCCCCGTGACAAGTCGCCCTCATCGAGTGTGCATGGAAACCCCTCCCTGGCGCCCAAGACTCCAGCCTGCTCCCAGATTTCATCTCGGTTTGTCCCTTCCGCATCTTCAGATTTTGGAGATCATGTTGCAGTCCACCAGGTGTGCCATATGGCTTCACGACATCTACATAACGCATGCGAAGCAAGACCCCACCACCCTACTAAAGACAACCCCTGACGACCGAAGCTGTGGAGAAGTAATCCTCAATATCAGGCCATGGCAACTCGGGCACGGCGATATTTTCAAACACCAATAAGTCGAGATATCCCGTTATCGGGGGTTGGGCCGATCCAGAAAGGTGATGCGATACTTTTGTAGTTATGTTGAGCTCGCCGCGATCATCTTGACGTTGGGCTTCTCACGTTACCACGATCGGCATGCGAAAGCTCGCGCTCCGCAAGGGAGGAAAGATGGTGTACTTCCCATGTTGGGGGCGCAGTCGATACACCCGATAGCCTAGAGCTGCCAGACCTGGATGCAAGGTATGGCACGGCGCCAGACAGAAGAGCCACAATATGTGAACCAGGCTCACTTGCCGTCCTGGAACGGTCACCAAAGACGAGCAGCCATATGAATCTGGACATACTCTCGACAGCGCCCGGAGCATGTCGCAATTGAGCGGCAGTCGTATGGCGATTGTAGCCCTGGCCGGGGCTGAGAACTGGGAGTTGTAACGATAAGTAGAGGAGACACTGCCTTTGCCCAACGCAGGGTAGCCACAGTATATGTTAAGAATAGTGCACGATGCGTGATTAGTACGCGACTGCGCGAGGGCGGTAGAACGATGCCCAAGCAAGGCCGTGGTAACTTGGTGACCCTTTGCCCTTCTCTGTCATCGCCAGTAGATGACCAATCCTCCCTCGATGCACATCGCATCATCATGTAATGCCACGCTATGATATGCGCAGTGGGTCGAGCAGGGAGATGGGCGGCGCTGAAGCGGAAGCGCCGTTTGCTGTTCTGCTCAGGTGAAGCTGCGGGGACCGAAGGAAAGCCCTCGGGCCCCGTCACGGCGGTCTGTCACCCGTTCGCATCATCGCTAGAAATCGTGAATGTCGAGCCGAGCGCTGGTGGTATGGTCGATGCCATGCGTGGTCGGGGCGGCGTGTGTTGATGATGAAGCGTCGGGTAGCGAAGGGTCGTGGTAGTGTCGCAGCTCTCCTGCTGGTCGGCTGCCCGCTTGTCACGTGTCCACCTGGTCAGAGCGCGACGAGGTGTGGCGTCATTGCTAGGTTAGAACGCTAATCCGCATTCGACGGCGCAGGAATAAGTTATTCCCTTGTAGTCATACTGACCGGGCTCCGAACTATTCTCCTGCGGAAAGCATGCGCCAGGCCAAACATGTTTCCCTGGGCATTGTGTCATCCTCTCATCTCTAGTTTGCTGCTTCCTCAGTCTGAAAAGTCCCTTCCCCACTAAAAAAGTCCCGACGAATTCCCCGCGATTATGGACGCCGACACCCCCAAGCCCAAATCCGCGGTTCCCTCCCACATGATGAACGGCGGATCACCCCTCAGGCTCACCACCGAGGCGCGCGACAGGAAAGAGCGCGAGCACCTCTTCAATGCTATAGAGACTTCCAACCGAGGGCGCCAGCCAGTAAACTTTGACGGGCCGACTAGCTATTTCCCCACGAAGGCTTCGGTCGCGAACATGCACACTGACAACCGACATGTCATGGCGAACGGCCAGGTAGACGCCGAAGACCCTTACGAGGGCGCCGTTGCCCAAACACCACTTGCGACCAGTCGCGCCCATAGCCCATACACACAGCATCCCACCATCGACTTCGATGGGCTTAGCTGGCCCAGCAAGGGCACGCGGGAGAGGAAGGAGGCGACCGAGGAGGAGAAGGAAGCCAATCTGAAGAAGCTGTCTGGTGCTGTCCGAACGATGCTTGAGTGTCTGGGCGAAGACCCAGACCGCGAGGGACTGTTGGACACACCCGAGCGCTATGCTAAGGCCTTACTCTTCTTCACCAAGGGCTATGAAGAGAACTTGCGCGACATCGTCAACGGTGCTGTCTTCCACGAGGACCACGATGAGCTCGTCATTGTGAGAGATATCGAGATCTTCTCCCTCTGCGAGCACCATCTGGTCCCCTTTATGGGCAAGGTAAGTCCTTTGTCCTGTTGTATCTGTCCTAAGGAATGTTTACTGACCTCTCTGTAGATGCATATCGGCTACATTCCGAACCGTCGCGTCATCGGCCTCTCCAAACTGGCTCGCATCGCTGAGATGTTTGCTCGTCGCTTACAGGTCCAAGAACGTCTCACCAAACAAGTGGCGCTCGCCCTTTCCGAGATGCTTCAACCACAAGGTGTCGCCGTAGTGGTCGAATCAAGTCACTTGTGCATGGTCATGCGCGGCGTGCAGAAGACAGGTGCTACAACAACTACAAGCTGCATGCTCGGATGTATGCGATCAAGGGACAAGACGCGCCAGGAATTCCTGAATCTCATCAACAGGCGGTAGACATGATATTGGATCAGAGATGCTTCGGCGCATAGTTGGGGTGCCAGGCGGCCTTACTCGTCGCATCATGTGCTATCGTTGCACGACTTTCTGCATTGGCGTTATATGGGACCGGCGTTTGGATGAGAAGTTCATCACTTCCATTAGGTGGGCGGGCTATTGTGTTGCATCACTAGACGCATAGGCCTTTCAACAGGCGTTTTCTTTACTCTTCTACATGTGTATGATGTACGATTCTCTGCGTCGATGTACGCAAACGACCCCCGCGATCCATTTTCGATATAGCATGCATCTGTACTCGTACAGCAACGAGAATAGTCACTGCCGTTCAATTCATCGTCCGTAAATCGCATGCTTAACTCCGAACGCCGCGAGCTCCCATAACCTCGTTTACTAATCAAACGGATCTTCGCGCGCCTTGATGTTCGTCCGTTTTCACGGTATCGGCATCGCAGCGAGATCACCTTCCGCTCCGGAATACCACCGAGGTTGATTCGCGCCCAGCCAGCGATAACTCCGTCCTCATCCTGGCGATAAGTCCATCATCATGGCGATGTTGACGTTGGAAATGCATACCCACACCTCGTATAAGGTAAAGCCGAACAGGTCTGTAGACTACATTGAGATAGAAACATACAAAGTGGGTAACCTTACGTCAACGTAGGTTCCAGGGTGTTCATCGTTTTCAGAGGTTGACGTGCCCAGGAAGTCTCAGTTTGACGGGACGCCTTAGGCATGGACAGAATATAAGAGTAGACATCATGGGCGAATCAACTCTAGCCCGCCAAGTCAAGCAACTTCAGTCTCGTCACACGTTTCCCCTCTTCTCCGTCAGCGTTCAATACACAACTAGCATACACCATGACATCACCAAGAGGTTTTGAACCGTGCTGCCTCAAATCATTCGACTGGGACGGTACACCAAGCGGCCACGAGGCGACAATCGCGAACAACCCAACCTACGTTACCGGCTCCAACCCCAACGCAGCCGTCCTCATCGCCCACGATGCCTTGGGCTGGAGATTCGGAAACACTCGTCTACTAGCCGATCACTTTGCCAAAGAGGTTTGTTTATGCTCATCTTAGCGATATGCTACATATCTTCTGTCCTCGTGATATAGTGCTAACGAAAATGCTACGCACTCTAGGCAAACGTCACAGTGTACATCCCCGACTTCTTCGGCGGAGAGGTACTTGATGTAGGTCTGCTCAAAGCAGGCAAATTCGACAAACTGGACGTCGAAGGTTTCAAAAAGCGCAACAGTCGCGAGGTCCGCGAACCAGAAATCTTTGCATGCGCCAAAGAGCTCCGCGCCAACGGCTTCAAGAAGATTGGCGCAGTGGGCTACTGCTGGGGCGGCTGGGCCATTCTCCGTCTCGCGACTGAGAAGTTGGTCGATTGTGTCATCTGCGCTCATCCGTCTTTGCTTACTGAAGCGGACTTTGATGGCGTCGATGTGCCGATCATGTTCTTGCAGCCGGAACATGATAGTATGTTCCCCGAGGAAATGAGGTTGTACGCGTTCAAGAAGCTAGTCTTGGAGAAGAAGAACCAAGCGGTTGAGTGGGTACATTTCCCAGATGCTCACCATGGCTGTTTTACCAAGGGCGACGAGGAAGTTCCGGGAGAAAGGGAGGCTATGATCAAGGCCAAGGACAGGGCGGTGACGTGGTGGAAGGAGTGGCTTGTTTGAGTTTACCTTATGAAGACTTCGACATCTCAGTCCTACCTCATACAACAAAGGAATTGAACAGGTGCTCTGCAGTCTACATCAGTAAAGAACGAAATGCCAAAGCATTTCATACTTCTAGGTTGTTGACTGCTGACAGGCGTTAAATCTTTTGATCGAATGGGTTGGTCTAGCTAGCTGTCTACCACTTACAATCTGCCACTTTACATGTAATCATCCAGATCCATGCCATCAGAATCGAAATCTTTATCCCAAGATTCTATGTCTTCGTACCCAAGATCGCCATATCCAAAGTCTTCAACCGCAAATCCACCACCGGAGTCGACCAGATGCCCACCAAGATAGACATACCTCCACCCGCGACCCGTCTGTGCAGCAACGATCTGCGCCGCCATACTATCCCCCACGCTCTTACCACTCACGATCGCCATTTTTGGCCTAGCTTTTGAAATCTTCTTAACGCTTTTGATGTCGAGGTCTTGGTCCCATAATTCCAAATGCCGCAGTTTCTTGGCAAGTGTCAGATCCGCCAGCACATCCTCCAGACCGCGACATTTGACTTTCCCAGGTGTCCTGTCATCACCGGATATAGCTATACGCTCAATGCCGGGGCAGTTCTTGACGATGGAGGTTATTGCGTTCTCCGTGAGGGTATGCGTGTCGCAGAAATCGATATCCTTGAGATGTGGGACGGCGCGTGTGAGGTTGGCAATAGCTGCGTCGGAGACGCGCCCGTACTCGCAACCAATCGTGTGCAGGGATTTGCGAAATCGGGGAGGGGCGGTTGCAATAGCTCTGATATGCTTACTAAATGATACTGTTAGCACATCGGGTGTCAGTTCGGAAGATCTGGCAGAGCTTACTCAGTAACGCAGAATTCATCAGTGAAATGTATACTTTGGATGCTAGTACGCTTAACGTCAGGCCATAGCATTCCCCAGTCTTCCTTCGAACGAAAGTACAGCGTCTTTGAGAATGGGATTTCAGCGGGGTGGTACGGTTCGTACACTGGCACAGACCGACGCGTCGGACAGGTGTAACCATCATGGAAGTATGTCTCCTCCTCAGGGTCGTAATCTAGAGTATCATCACTGTCGTCTGATGCCCAGGCTCTGCTGTCGTCGTCGTCGTCGTCTTCGTCTTCATCATCGTCACTCCCCGCTTCACTCTTGTCGGAATTGTCTCCTTCTGGTATGTCAGACGTGTTGGCACCGGCCTGGACGGATCTCGAGGGCTCTTTGCGCGAAAAGCTGAGGCTCCACGGATGGATTGTAAAGTCTTCATCTACTTTTGGCAACCGATATCCCATATCCTCAAGAGTACTTTCTTCCCCCTCTTTTAAACACTTGCCTCCAAGCCAATTGAACGACCATACATCACCGCATGCCATAGTGATTCCGGTGGAGATGAGGAGATTACGCCATTTCTTGGAGATACCTTTGATCAGCGACTCATCCGTTCCCTGGTCATAAAGATAAATGACTTCGAGGTTTGTGCGTGATTCGACTATGGCTGGCTGGTTGAGAAACCCAGCGAACTTTCCAGTTACAAGTCCAGTCGCGATTTCGGGTCCGGTGACCTTTATTATGGAGATCGAAGGGCAGTTCTGAAGAATATGAACGATGCCTTTATCGGTGACTTCTAATGCTCTGTGTAAAAGGACTTCTCTGAGTTGCGGATTGCGCGATGTAATAACCTTGACATCGGCGTTGGTTAAGTCCCAGCCACTGCAATCCATCTGCAGCACCTCGAGCGACCTGGTATACTGCTTCAAAGCTTGGATATGTTTCCTGTGAACATGATGGGTATCTGTACTGATTTACAATACATCTAGTGTTCTTACCGTTCCACGTAAAACTGCGGACCAAATTCGACGCATCGAACGCCAGCAGTAAGCTTCTTTGCATCAAACGCAGCTTCGGAATCATAGAATACGCGTTCTGATTCCGCGTAGTCAGCGCGCTGGTACGTTGGTGTGGATGACGCCATGACGCATTCAGAAAAATTGGAAGATAGACCAGAGTGAAATCAGATGGGGTTGTCATATATGATAAGTGCACGGGCCATCTAAACCCCTGGGATCAAACGTCACAGAGCGACATTTCGCTTTCCGCAATCCATGGATGATCTGTAACTCACTAAATCTTATTGATCCGTACGTCTGGCTACTAATAGTATCGGATAAGAACAAGATCACGTCTCATCTACATCTGACGGAAGACCGGATAGACGTCGCCGACCTCCATAGGAACAATGCCAAATGAGACATATGAGTCGATGTTCTCAGGCTCTAGCGCGACAAAAGCTAGTCCTGCGTTCTTTTGTGCACTACTTACGAAGAAGCTGCCAGCAGGCAGCGTGACATCTTGAACAAGTGTTTCCGTAGTAACAGTGTTCAAGATGGCGCCTTCATAGTATGACGAGCCGAGGCTAGAAGAGGTAATGTTGTATGCTTCGACCTCTCCATGGAAAACCTCGGGCATAGTTTCGATCTCCAGTCCTGACACCCTGAGACGCTCGGCAAGGTCAGCCCACGCGCGGGGGATTATGTACCCTTCGGGCCGAGCGCGAGTCATGTTGGCAGTTGCGGGCGTGGTGCTGGAAAATTCGATTGGGAGTTGAACAACCTCGCCGGTCCGACGATCGACCATAGTATAGGTGCGGTTCGAGTAGGTTGTGAAGTCTGTGATGACGATCTCCTCTTTGCTCTCGACAACCTCTGCAATAGCACCCTCGATTGTCTTCTTCACGTCCGCAGCTTCATCTCGAGCAGTCTCGAGCACACCGAGGATCATCTGCAAGCCAGCGACGGTTCGGCGTTTGAACTCCTGGCTTGCGATGGCGATACCTCGCGTCTCAAAGAGAAACGTAACGCATTGTGTGAGTCCCATGGCGTTGCGGCCGATCTTTGCATCAGTTCCCGCCTCGTCCAAGCGTGGAGTCGGGTTCGTCCGCGAGGCCGTCACGTATGGCTCTCCGCGCAGACCTCGGGAGAGGAGAGACGCGTTGATTGCGGGCGCAAAGACGGTCTCGGCGAGCGTGCGAATGGATGGATGGATGTTGAGGTTCTTTGCTGCGCTGTACATCCCATCGGCCGCGTTGCTGTAGTTGCCAGAGTATCGCGTCCCAGCCCCATACTCATGCATGTCAATAGCGATGTGTGGTGAAAAGTTGCTGAACCATTGCTTGATGTCGCGGGTCTGCTGTCGAGCAAGCTTGGTGTGGTCGCGGTTTGGGTCGAAGTTTGTAGCCAAGGTGCGCTGGAAGTAGGCATTCCCGTCTGGATTGTAACGCGGCAGCACAATAATGTCCATCTTCTCAAGGAAGCTGGCGGGCCACGTCGGGTCGGCATCCATCGCACCAAGAAGAGCCAGAGTGGCTTCGTCGCCAGCGGGTTCGTTCCCGTGAACTGATCCTTGAATCCATACTCGCAATTTACCAGAGGTAGTGTACCCAGAGGATGCGTTCGATGCGGAGGTAGAGAGGTAGGCGTACGGGAAAGTCTTGCCTTCTTCGCTCAGGAAGTCGGCCACGTCGTAGGTCATCCATGAAGGATTCTTCGCTGCAAGCTTGCTGATGAATTCCTCTGTTAAGTGTTAGGCTACCCGCTCTATGATGAAATGTCTCTCTCATTATTCACGTACCTAATGTGTATTGCGATGTCGCGCCTTCAGTTCCCTCTGACCAACCCGGATCAAACGAGGCGTTTGGCAGGAACGCGGGACTCAGAAGGGTCACATCTGGCGCTGGGAAAGCCGTTTGCTCCACAAGCTGCGAGTCAAGGTTTACATTGACATGGTTCTCGCCGTATTGAGACTGCGCAAGCGCAGACGCTGCGAAGAGCGCAATTGAAGCTGTACGCATCTTCGTCCGGTCTCAGCTGAGGCTGTCAAATGCGCGCACAGCACCAATTTGTGCATCACCACTCTTTTTGTATGGCTCTCCCCCATCTTTGGGTGATAGCGCTACGTCAGTCAAGACGCTTTTTCGCTGGTTGGAGTACTTTGCCAAGGAGAATTGACCTTGGCTGCAGTTGCTCCTGCCGTTTCTGGTGTCGTTTTCCTCGGAGATAGGCGTGTAGTGCGCCGTTATCGCATAAGAACGGCATTTCTGCGGCTCTTGATGGAGCACGGTGGTGCTTCTCATGGGCTTCGCGTTGGTGATGAGGGCTTGGAAGGTGGCTGGAGAGGTGTGACACGCGAAGGGCGCCGACTGCTCGGAATGGTTCCGACACGAGCTTGCATTCGATCGGACGCGTCGCGGAACATGCCGCACGTCAGTGGCACCTGCAGGCGTGGGAAGAAGACAGTCTTTTACCTCGCTCGAATCTCACATACATTCTGTGACTTTGGTTACACACAACTGTCACTGCAATTCTCGGTGCAGCGCACCCAACTACCAGGTGACTGCTTAGCCAACATCCCTGCCGCGACAATAGGCTCCGAGGCTCCAATTGGATTCAGGCTTCCCATCAATCGTATTGAAAAAGACTGTCACTACGTTTGGGGAAACGGTTGAATACCTGCCTCCTGGTCCGGAAGTCTACTTTGCGCTGGAGTAATCTCAATTCTCAATCCGAGACTACCTAGATAATGTAGACTGCAAGGCATCTGTTCATTCTTTTCCCTGTTTGCGGTGCTATATCTCTGATGAGTGTTTCGCTTCAATCATGTTCCGGCACCGTGTGACACCATGCCATCTCCCCAGCTTCCCCGCATCATGGGACAATAGCCCGAAATGCCGATGCAGGTCCATGCAACCCGCAAGAATTACCTTCCACAGGCGACCAAGTCTGGATACCATCAACCAGCCAGAATTCATGGGACACGAAGTGGTCACACGGTTCAGGAATGGACACTAAGAAGATTTCATCCGCGTCTTTGATCGCCGGCTCTCATTGTGTGGTAGCCGGCATGTATTTAATTGGAGCATAGCCTTTCTTTTAGAGCTCAGCCAAGAATCATGAGACTTTTCTCTTCGTTACTCGCGTGCTGCGTCACGTTTTCTTCACTCTCTTCCGCGATCTCCATCATTTCGACTAAGAACTGGAACGTCACGAATGATGTGGAGGGTTCAGTCCGTCTGAATGGCCTTGCTTTCCAACAACACGCCTTGACCACCTTTGGTGACTACCAATATGTCGCATTCTACAAGACAGCTTCCGGATACGGCAAACATCATGTCAACCTCGGTCGGCGCAAAATCAACCCTTCTTTGGGTGATTGGCAGTACTTTGCGTTCACAGACTATGTGCAAACAACTCTCGATGAACACAACACTATCAGCATGGGCATTAGCGGCGACGGCAAGATTCATCTGAGCTTCGATCATCACGACGTACCACTCAACTATCGTGCGAGCAACACAGGCATCGCTAAAACAATCCCCGAACAGTGGACAGCCAGCGCCTTTGGAGCGGTCCAACACAGTCTGCCTGGCTCAACCGGACCATGGACGCCGCTCACATACCCTCGGTTCGAACGCCTCGACAACGGCGATCTTCTGATGGAATTCCGTATTGGTCAGTCTGGCGCCGGTGACTCGTACATACATCGATACTCTGCAACATCTGGGCAGTGGAGCGCGGTCGGCAAATACCTCCAAGGTCAAGACAATAATGCATATATCAACGGCATCAGCAACCAGGGTGGAAAGCTCTTCGTCTCGTGGACGGTGAGGGAGACACCTACTCCCTCGACGAACCACGACTTCTACTTCGCCTTGTCGGAGGATGATGGTAAGAGTTGGAAGCAGACCAATGGTCAAACTGTAGCAAAGCCGATAATGCCATCTACGCCTGGGATCAAGGTGTATTCGATCCCACAAAACAGCCAGATCATCAACCAAGAAGCCCAATGCGCTGACCAAAGAGGTCGGTTTCATGCTCTCATGCGCGACAACTCGACAGGCACAGCGCAATTCTACCACTATCTCCGGACTCCAGAAGGCAAGTTTTCCAAGACCGCCATCAAGACGCCCGGTCTCTCAACGCCCCCATATCTTGCCTATAGAGGTAAAATCGCTGCCGCAGGCGATAATGTTTTCGCGATCCTACCAGATCAGCCGAAGATGACCGTACAAATATGGGCCGCGACAGCGGCCGGAGCATACGATGACTGGAAGAAGTTGGCCGAGGTACCAAACGCTGCTGGTGAGCCGTTGGTGGACGAAGAGAGGCTGGATAAATTCAACGTCTTGAGTCTTTTCATCAGGCAAGGTGGGCCTTTCGGCACACGAAAAGTACAAGTGTGGGATTTTGCGCTCGCGCTTTGAAGAACAGAGTGCGCTTTTGACTCAAACTGGGGCTTGGTCTTCGTTCAAGCGGGTCGCCATGGCATATACCAATACATTAGTTCCAACAACACCAGCATTAGGACAAGAACTTGAGGCTCAAGTGGCCTTATTCCCGCACATTCTGTCTTGGCGCACTGACGCTCCTCATTTACTGCTGCTGACAGAACAAGATCGGAGCATGGAATGTTTCTCGGGAAGATTTCGCATCGCGCTAGCACGTCCGTTGACGCAATTGCACATCGGTCCCATCAATCCTAACCCAACGCTTAAAAGTAAACCTGGGCAACCGAGAACGCACGTTTACCCCAGGCCTGAATCTAGCTAGGTGCGGCGTAGCCTTTGAGTGGTTTTGCGGAGAAGGTACGTACTTGGAAGCTCCGATATGCCCAATTCCCTCGATGCCGGCTCAACCTCATCATGCACCCACCGGCTACAGTACACGGATACGAAAATGCTGGTACCCATGGGGTGATAAGCGGAGTAAGATGGAGGAAGACATGCGGGGCACGTCCACATCTGGTTTTGTCATCACAGGCGATGCGAAAATTTGCCCTCTAGTCCCGGATGCATCCCGTCCTTCGAGAAGCATAAAGCTGGCGGTATATCTCTAATTGATCGGCATCGGACCGGAAATCATCTCACCATGCCTTCCCATCTCTCTGTACTCGCAGCCATCGGTGGCCTGCTCACGTTTGGACATGCCCAGAATTCGTCAGCCCCTTCGGCCTCAAGCACATCGACGTACTCGCAACCCAATGTACCGACTGGGGTCCCGATTTCAGGCGACTACGATGAGCCGCTTCGACCTCAAGTGCATTTCAGCCCGCCTGCTGGGTTCATGAATGATCCAAACGGCATGTACGTCTCGGACGGGGTGTATCATTTGTATTATCAGTACAACCCGACCGAGAACATTGCAGGAAACCAACACTGGGGCCACGCGACTAGTAAAGACCTGTACACATGGACAAATCAGCCCATCGCCATCTTCCCCGGTGGTCCAACCGAGGGCGTTTTCTCCGGATCTGCCGTCATCGATCACAACAACACCAGCGGCTTCTTCCCGAATCAGACCAACGGCGTAGTTGCGATCTACACCATCAATGTTCCCGAGAACCAGACCCAGCACATTGCCTACTCCCACGACAACGGATACTCTTTCACCAAGTACGAGAATAACCCCGTCATCGTTCCCGGTGGAACCAACCCCACTCAATTCCGTGACCCGAAAGTCATCTGGTACGAGCCTGCTGAGAGCTGGGTCATGGTCGTGGCTTACCCCATCGACTTCAAGATCGGCATCTTCACAAGCCCTAACTTGATCGACTGGACTCCCACCAGCAACTTCTCCAGCTACGGTATCACCGGTCTGCAGTACGAGTGCCCGAACATGGTTGAGATGCGTGTGCAGAACTCCACTAGCGACGAGTCCAAGTATGTTATGTTGATTTCCATCAACCCTGGAGCTCCTCTCGGCGGATCTATCACGGAGTACTTCGTCGGTAACTTCAACGGCACGCATTTCGAAGCTGATGACGCCCGAACACGCCTCACGGATTTCGCCAAGGACAACTACGCCGGTCAGTTCTTCTACGGTGTTCCCGCCGACGAAGATCAGATTACGCTTAACTGGGCGAGCAACTGGCAGTACACCAACGTCGTTCCCACTGCTGGTGAGGAAGTCGGCGATGGCTTCCGTAGCGTCATGACTGTACCCAGAGGCCATTACCTCAAAGATCTGCCCCGCCAGGGTCTGTCTTTGATTTCGTACCCCTCCAACATCATGTCAATTGTCGAAGAGGAGCTCGCTTCCACTGAAATCACCAGTAACGGCACTGCCTTCGTAGATTACTCCACCGTCGAGTCGGGCGCACTTTACTTTGAAGTCAATGTCACTGGACTCACTGGCGGTCCTTCGCTCGCGGGATCTATTAGCTTCACCTTCCAGTCTTCGGTTTCCGGCGAGTCGATCTCAGGTGGAACCTTCCTCTCATCTGGCGATGTTTGGCTGGACCGCGGAAAGACTGAGGCTTTCCAGAGCCCTTACTTCAACGACAAGTTCACTGCCACCGGTCTTTACGACGATAGACAGGGCTCATGGAAGATCTCGGGTATCATCGACAGGAGCATTATTGAGGTCTTTCTGAACGAAGGCGAGCTTGGTGCGACCGCAGTCTTCTTCCCTACGCAACCGCTCGACACGATGATGCTGAGGGTGGCGGGCTTGAACGAAACAGTAACCGCCAGTGTTGGTGTGTGGTCTTTGAAGGCTGCTTGGTTAAACCAGGCCGATGCCAATGGCACAGTTTCCGGTAACACGACCGAGGGTAGCAGCGCAATGCTAGGCTCTGCAAAGCTCTTCTAAGCATGTAGTTTAAAACAGTAGTATGTGTGCAATATTAATGCCCAAGGCAGACTTACATCCCCAATAATCACTTAGCCCTTCTACGTGACGTCTCTACTATACCAAGGTCTATCCGACCTGCCCTTTTGAACACTACAACCGTGAAAATATTAGATCATCTGGTTTACTACGGGTGCTACTTACTCCGCAGGCCGATAGATGCTCCACTCCGCAACTCGTGATCCGGTGGCAAGGGTGACATGGTGGGGACGAGCCCCTTAGCGTCCGCCTCCACACCCGAACCTTAATGGCGGATACAACACCCAATATCGTTAAATGCATCCTATTACTGTCGCATGGCTTCGGCATATGTCCCACTGCCGTCATCGCGAGGCAAAGCATATGCTAATGCGGAAGAACTCTACGCCGAAATCTTCCGCTGCCACTGCAATCGTAAAGTTCGTCGACGGAGTAACTCCGGCGGTAATCCGGTTCGTTGGAACTCTACCAAGCGCCGGCGCAACCTTGATTCTTTGGACATCCTCATTCGCGGATGGGTCTTAGTCTTAATGTGGGTGTTGTGAGTGGCTCGTCGTCCAAGGCTTCGCCGCAAGGAAACGGTCGAGCGCCGAGGTAGCACCACTACATCGTGTATAGACTACCCCGCTTCCAGCATTATCCAAGAGCCAAGTGGAAGTTAGTGAGAAGATGGTGTGTGCGGGCGCGTTACCTGAATGAGGCGCCGAGATTGAGTTGACTGCTATATTTAAATAAGAGAGCGACGATGAGAGTATGTAGTGAACATCAACCGCTCCGCCCAATACTACATTACAATGCGTACATCGACCTTCATCAGAGCGGCCGTCGTGCTAGCCAGCAGTTACTCGGTTGATGCCGATGTCACCACGACGATTGACCCTAAATCAAACTGGGGTACTTGGGAGGGCTGGGGGACGTCGTTGGCATGGTGGGCCCAGCAGTTCGGGAACCGAGACGATCTCGCGGATATCTTCTTTACGCTGAAGCAGACCAAATTCAATGGCGAGACTCTTCCGGGTCTTGGCTTCAACATCGTACGTTACAACGCCGGTGCCTGTAGCTGGAACACCATCGATGGTGAGAAGATGGTAGTGTCTCCAAACGTGAAAAGGTCGAGGCAGATGGAAGGCTACTGGTTGGACTGGAAGAGCAGCGACCCGGCCTCTTCAAGCTGGAATTGGTATGATAACTACCTGCTCGGTGTGCCACGGGGCTATATACTGATCACCGTCTGTGTTCTAGGACGGTTGATGTCAACCAGCGAGCAGCACTCCAGAAAGCAATCGCACGTGGAGCAGACAGAACAGAGTTGTTCTCAAACGCACCGATGTGGTGGTAGGTACAACTCATGGACAAAGTGTGTGTGAGGTATTGACTTGTTCAGGATGACCAAGAACCACAATCCATCGGGAGCCGCGGACGGAAGCGAGAACATCCAGTCGTGGAACTTGGAGCAGCATGCAGTATATATGGCGACAGTCGCAAAACATTTCAAGGATAATTGGGGAGTCGAATTCGAAACTGTCGACCCTTTCAACGAGCCGAGTGCGAACTGGTGGAAGGCCGACGGCACCCAAGAAGGATGCCATGTTGATGTGTCCACCCAAGCCAAGATCGTCGGTTATCTCGACACGCAACTCTCAAATCGTGGGCTCTCAACAAAGATCGCCGCCTCAGATGAGTCGTACTACGATCAAGCTGCCACCACGTTGAAGACAATCGGCAGCAGCGCACTCGGCAAGATCAACCGGATAAACGTCCATGGATACCAATACGGAAGCGGCGACCGCGCTGGTGTTCGCACACTGGCTACACAGGCCGGAAAAGCTCTCTGGAACAGCGAATACGGTGATGGCGTGGCTTCTGGCGAGAACCTCGCCAAGTACCTCTTCCAGGATCTTCGCCAGCTGAAGCCTACGGCATGGGAGTACTGGCAAGTCCTCGACCAGGGAGGCTGGGGTCTTATCGACGCGGACAATGATGCGAAAACACTGGGTAAATCGACACAAAAGTACTACGTGCTTGCGCAGTTCGCCCGGCACATGCGCCCGGGTATGAAAATCCTCGATGGTGGCCGAGACAACGTCGTCGCTGCCTACGATGCTAGCAAGTCGTTGTTGGTCATCGTGGCCGTGAATTGGGACGCTGCACAGTATATCAACTTTGAGCTGTCGGGGTTCTCGGGGCGTCCTTCATCCGGCGCAACTGTCTCGAGGTGGAGCACCCAGATCGGGAGCGGCGATCGTTACGTGCAACATCTCGATACCACGATCAGTGGCACAAAGTTCTGGTCGAAGTTCGAGAAGAACATGGTGCAGACTTTCGAAGTAACAGGGATCAAGTTGTAGAGCATAGCGCATACGATAGTGTGCTAATACAGAACTGTTCCGTTGATGAGGTGAAGCGTTCGTTCGCGACGTTAGGTGTAGGTCCACATCGTGTTATGTTATCCAATTCTTTGCTTTCTTCTGACCCATACCTCTTGATCTTCATTTCCTGACCTTTGCTGGGTTTCCCAAACTTGAAGCCTATAGCTACCGCGGTCCGATCGACCGGTATGAAGATCGAACGACCAGTCGTGCTTTGGACACTGGATGCCTGAACTGAGCACGACGCCAAAGTCTTCGATATCGAAGGGTGTACCATTAGAGAGTGGATACGAAGAATGCGGGCATTCCTGTGCGGGTCTTGGTCAGCATAGGCCCAGTGCATATAGTGCCAATGTCGTGACGTACGTGGTTCACCGCGACAAATTTTCCTTTGTACTGGAATACCATCACTTGGTCCTTTGCATCGCCACCAACTTCTGGGTCCTTCCAGTCATCAATTGCGACCTCTGTGGCTTTGGAGCTGTCGTCGCGAGGCACGTGAAACACCCGGCATCCAGCCACATACTTTTCGCCGCATGGGCGCTGTTCGCCGACGCGCGCGGAGTCGTCAAGATTCGGGTACGACGTCACTGCGCCAGCGCAAAACCACGCGTTACCAGCCTGAGATGACCGAGAAAACGGATTGACCAGGAACGACATGCTGGGTGGCGATGACGCCAATGTGTGCGACGCGTTGATTGCACGCGACGATGTACGATGGTGGGTGCCAGGTCTTCACTAGCACCACGCTAGCCGCAGCGGAAAGCGGCTAGACTGGTCCATGTCAAGTTGTCAACAGAGACTTCCACTTCCACGCCCTGTGGTCAAATATGGAAGTCCGGTTCCAAACATGGAAAATTAGAGCGCTTAGCAAAACAGCGTACACAATATTTAAATACCGAGATGGCTTCAAAGAGCCCGCATGTGTACAATTCTACGCTCCTTGCATACCATCGCACTTGTCTTCAAACCTCGACTAGCTGATATTCGTCGCTCATATACAACTACATCCAAAATGACGAACACCCAAGACCCTTCAAGTTATCTTGCCAACGCGCGCATCGCCCCAGAAATCTTCCAACTCCGGCCTGATTATCGCGCCCTACTTATGGTCGTCAGCAACATACCACCAGGCCCTTCCGACTCAGCAAGCGAGGCTTTCCTCTCCTCGGCAGAAGCATCAGCCAAAGAAGCACTCGCAAAAACGCCGGTGAATGACATTCCTCATGTCGCGCACTGGAAGGAAGCCTACAAAGCCTTCGGCGCAAAGCCCAAGAAGACCATGAACAGTCTCGAAGCGCTGTTACGTCGTGTTGATGCAGGCCTACCGCGTGTGAATCGCTTGACAGATATCTACAACGCGATTTCCATCAAACATCAACTCCCTCTTGGAGGCGAGGATCTTGACAAATACAAGGGAAGCCCTTTCCTGATACGTGCAAAAGGCGACGAGAAGTTCGACACGAAATCTGGCGGCGAAGTCGTCATTGAGAACCCGAGTCCCGGAGAGGCAGTTTGGTGCGACGATGGTGGTGTGACGTGCAGACGTTGGAATTGGAGGCAATGCTCGAGAACCGCGTTGAACGACGGCACGTCAAATGTACTCTTCATCCTGGATGCATTGGAAGCCATCGATAATGCGAAGCTAAATGCCGCAGCGGACGAGTTAAGTCAGGAACTGCAGAAGCTGTCCGCAGATGTAAAAGTCGAACGACGTCTCTTGACATCATGAATACATTCATTATGCAATACATAGTCGCATTGTACTACGTATGCACTATCCATATCATTTCGTAGTCTCCACTAGGTATTGATGGTGATGATCTATAGACTGTTTATGATAATGTCCGCAGCCTATTCAACATTAGCGTCTATCTTACCACGGTCACATTCCCACTTAACTTCTCGCCAATAGCGTACGCTGTAGAGCTAGTGTGTGCACTTGGTAGGAAAGGCAGAATACTAATGTCAACAACACGCAGTCCGGCCGCACCATGCACCCTCAGGTCTGGTCCTACCACGCCTCCCAGATTCCTGGGTATCATCGCAGCTGTGCAGCATGGGTGCAGATGCGAGAGTACCATGGAACCCTTGATGTAAGACTTGAGGTCTTCGTCTGACTGAACAGCTGGGCCAGGAGTGACTTCAACTGCACCATATTTGCGCATAGTCGGAGTATCCAATACCTTACGAAGCCATTTGATATGCGCAATATGAATGGAAAAATCGACGGGACTGGAGCCAGCGCGGTAATCAAGTATGGGCTGAGCTAACAGGTCGGTTGAATTGAGGTGAACAGTACCGCGACTTAGTGGATGGAGAATAATAGGACGCATAGTCGTCCCAGTCGCAAAGGGCACTTCTACACTGGGGGCTTCTGGGTTTGCGAGAAAGTCGGCAAGGACGTGAAGCTGACGTTTGTAGCCAGCAACAAGGCTTGGGTCGGAGTTCTCAGGCAAATGAGCAGCCGCTGAGTCGCTATCAGCCGTCTTGCGCATTTCCTCAATAATTTCCATGTACTCCTCGGTCACGTTAGGAAGTGAGATGTACAGGGCAGTATTACTCATGGCCAACGTGTAAGGGCCTCGTGCTGGCGTCATATTGAACTCTGACACTGCTCTGGCGGCATAAGCAGGATCAAGCATGTCTGAAGGCATATTGGAGAAGTTGCCAGGCTTCGTATCTGTGACACAGTCAGTGATCAGAGTGCCACCCTCAACGAGCAACCGGGATACCCACAGTTCCACGATATGCCGGGAGAAGAGTGATCTTGCAAGTTTGAGCCCACACCAGGAAGATCCAGTACTGCGGTGATGTTCAAGTCATCGAGGAGAGCCGCAGGTCCAATGCCGCTCCTTTGTAGGATGGTAGGCGTGTGCATTGCGCCGGCAGAAATGATGACTTCGGCTTTGGCGGTTAAATTGAACACTTCATCGTTAGAAAGAGATCGTATCTCTACCCGTGGTGGCCCGTGTGAGACGCCGTCAGTGTAGACAACCCTTATGACCTGATGCTTGACCAGCAAGTCGTAGTTTGGTCTACCCGAAACGTCGGAGTAGTGGCCCAGACCAGCGTGCGAGCGCCTGGCCGTGACTGGATGCTGAGATATGGGTGTCCAACACAGGCCTTCTTTGAACCCACCTGCGCACTCGTCCAGGGCCCGGATACCCATGTCTCTCCAAGCATCCCTCGCGAGGTGAATGTCGCCCCATAGAAAAGGTGGGAAACTCGAATGGATGGGAGTCGTGCCGCCATACGCGGACATGTCCCAAGTGAACCCATACTGTTCCACCACGCTTGGCTCTGGTGGAGTGAAGGTCACGCTCTATATGGAGTCAGCTTGACGTCAGACACGAGCGGCAACCATACTCACATTCTTGAAGTAGGGAAACAGGCTCTCCCAATCCCACTTGGCCGTACTGTTTGCAAACTCAGGACCTCCAATCTGAGTCCAAGCGTCATAGTCATGTCTAGATCCGCGATCAAAGTACTGGCCGTTGATGGCGCTACTGCCACCGACAGTCTGACCAACGAACAGCAAAGCCTGTTTGTCATTCATTTCCGGATTAGGTACTGAGTTGAATGTGAAGTATCCCGCCTTGTCAGTTGGCCCGCCCCAAACGAGGCTTGGCGGATCAAATGCCCCTGGCGCATATGCGACTTCGCCGTACTCAACAACCAGCACTGTTTCTGCGATGAAGGTCAACCAAAAGTGTTTTGTAGACGATTGTGAGGACTTGCTCTCTGGGAAGGCCTCAGTAAGTCGATCAGCTACTGTAAGACCAGCAGTTCCTCCACCACAAATTACGACATCATAGGTAGGCCGAAGCTCTGAGATGTGACGTTTGAAAGCAGCGCGTGGGAGCGCATTAGCGCAAGTGACGGCTAATCCAACTGATAGAATTCGTGGAATCATGGCTGTCCGTTCGAAAGGTATCACTCCGATCGTCTAGCGAGCGTCTTCTCTTATGTCGCTGCTATCGCGTTGCTATGCTGCTGTGCCACCCGAACGCTCGTGTCATTGGCACTCGATAGTGCGCGTTGGCATCTGCCGGTCGTGTGGACCGCTCGTGATCGGTATGAAGTGCTCATTGGTCCTAACCTCCGTTGTAAGTCAGACTTCGTAAGCGTTGCTGTGCATCGCAGCATGCGTTTGTGGTGAGATGCGTGCAGGAGCGAGCGACCCCGCTCGAACAGGCAGGTTCATTAGTAGCCTGACTCGTGTCCGTTTTCTTGAGTGAGCATATCGCATATCCATCATGTCTTTGTTTGCGCAGCTCTACGCGGCGAAATGGCTACTCGTAGCGGTCATTCTTGTGGCCTATGCTGTGGCGACCTTCGTTCGCTACCGGCGCCTTCGAGCCTTCCCTGGTCCGATCAGCTCGGGATGGTGTGAACTGCTGCATATGCGCGCGATACTGAGTCGACATTCACATCTCTGGTACAAAGCCGTCGGCGATGAATATGGTGAGTAGATAGTTGGAAGTCCCAAGGTCGCTGCGCGGGAGAGGCGCCGTCTTGCCCCTGTGCGGCCCGCTTGCCCCTTGCTGACAGCGCCAAACTGCAGGCGCCCTCGCTCGCATCGGTCCCAACGACCTTTTAACATCGTCGCCAGATCTGCTAGCCCATATGAACGCAGTGCGCTCGCCGTACACTCGCACAGCATGGTACAATACTGCCGTGCGGATGGAGGTTGGGAAGGACCATGTCTTTAGCCAACTCGATGAGGTGCAGCACACGAAGCGGCGCCAACAGATGGCGTCTGCGTACTCAGGCAAAGAGAATGTGTCCCTGGAATCTGACATCGACGAACACATACAGCAGCTTCTGGAATTGATCAGATCAAAGTATCTTTCGACTGCTACGCGGCACGAGCCCGTAGATCTCGCCAGTAAGATTCAGTATCTTACCCTCGACGTGATCAGCAAAATCGGCTTCGGTAAAGCGTTTGGGGACATCAAAGCCGATGCTGACCTCGACAATTATATAAGCGCTGGTCGAGTCGGGTTGGCAATTATGGTCTTCACCGGGGCCCTTGGACTGACACCTTACTTCCATTGGCCACCCATCGCGCGTATGCTCGGGCCCTCAGACAAGGACAAGAGTGGTTATGGAAAGATGAGAACGGTAGCTCGGGAACTCATTGATTCGCGTCTAGAGAAGCCCACCAATAGTCGCTCGGACATGCTTTCGTCGTTCATACGCCACGGATTGACACGCGACGATATCGTGACTGAATCGATGCTCACGATTCTAGCAGGGTCTGACACGACTGCGACTGCTATACGTGGAACGATGCTCTATCTGATGACCAGCCATAGGGCGTACAAAAAGCTGCAGGCCGAGATTGACGCTGCCGTTACTTCAGGTCATGCTGCTAGCTCGACCGGTATCGTGTCTGACGAGACGATGAAGAGCCTGCCATACCTACAAGCCGTAATGCGTGAAGGGCTTCGAATTCATCCACCTGTCACTGATATCGCTCCGAAGAAGGTACCCGTCGAAGGCGACACTGTCACAGTCAACGGAAAAGCGTATTTCCTTCCTGGTGGTGCTAACATTGGGTATAACGTAATGGGTCTTAATCGGAACAAGGAGATATTTGGTGAAGATGTCGACTGCTTCAGACCGGAACGTTGGCTACTCGATGAGCACGACGAAATCCAGCTTGAGCGCTTGAACGCTATGCGCCGTACTACAGACATGATTTTCGGGTATGGCAAGTACCAGTGTCTCGGGAAGCCTATAGCATGGTTGGAGATGAGAAAGGTTATCTTCGAGGTTCGTTGTTCCAGAGTTTCGTACTGAGTCCCTATGCTGACTTCCGTCTAGTTCCTACGACATTTCGACTGGTCTCTTGCAAACCCAGAGAAACCGTGGAGATCTAAGAATTACTTCGGCGTCTTCCTGCAAGACCAAATGTGGTGCCACATTACTGAGAGAGAACATGGCTTATGAGGGCCTCTGCGTGACCGATGTGAGTCACGTGAAGAGTCGCACGCCCCGGGGGCTTTCTTTGGCGTCCGCTTAAATTGATCCCAAGGCTTCTTTCCTCATGTTCGTTAACGGCCTCTTTACTGTGCAACCAGTCTCTTCAGATAAGGCGGAAATCCAATTATTCCGGACAGGTTTCTTGGGGGTTGTGATGTTTTGTCCAACCTGTCCGGACTTCGACCAAGTTTCCGGATGAATGACCTGCGCACGGTGCCCTATGCACGGCATATCGTGATGCTTGCGGGGTAATGTGGAGCGAATGTCTACCCCGGACTAGCCACTAATTTGCATCAACCGAAATGCATCAACTCGCCGGCTAATGTGACATCACCATCGTCTTGGCTGTGCTGACCGGCTTCGCAGTTGTATGTGATCGCAATAGGCACCACATACGTAACTTATCCAGTTCGTAAAGCTGACACGTCTTTCAAGGATGCTCCGATGCGCTTCGCCCGGGCTGTCAAGCAACAATTGCAATGCCAAGATCGCAAACTATTCTAGAGTGATTCAGCTCGGCAAATGACTACTGGTTATGTAGACGGCGATGTGCTCATATTTCTCATTGGTGGATCTTCAGGAACGACGCTTCCGTACAGCCTCATGGAGAGGCTTCAGATGGCAACTGTTGTATATGAGCGGATGCATATGTGTTGCAAGCATGGTGCAATTTCCCAGATCCTTCCGCCATGAAGCTTCGAAAATCCTGGTTGGCCGCGGTGTGCTTCGCCACTCCCGTTCTCGCATCATCACCAATCGTTCATTCGCAGGCTGGCATATACCAAGGACGTTTCCTGCAGGAATTCGACCAAGACCTATTCCTAGGTGTCAAGTATGCTCCAAAGCCAGTGCGATTCGCTCCCGCTCAATTAGCACCGGATTCGCCTACAAGATACCACAATGCCACGCAGTACGGTGTTGACTGCACAGGATATGGTGGAGACACAACCACCCTTGTTAATGCAAATTGGACAAAACTGGGAGAGGACTGTCTACACCTGAACATCGTCAAGCCAAGGACAAACGAGACAAATCTCCCGATATTGCTATGGATCTACGGAGGAGGATGGCAGCAGGGTGCTACTAGTGATCCAAGGTAAGCTGTCTGAAGTGACTGCATTCGGAACGAATACTTACCAGCGCCAGATACAACATGAGCTACATTGTTCAGCAATCAGTGCTCAACAACAAGCCCGTCATCGGCATCTCGATCAATTACCGCATGGCTGCATTTGGCTTCTTGTACAGTGAAGAAGTTGAGGCCGCTGGGGCACAGAATCTAGGACTTCGCGATCAACGACTCGCGATGCGGTGGGTCAACAAGCATATATCAGCTTTCGGTGGTGATCCTAAAAAGGTCACAATCTGGGGTGAATCAGCGGGCGCATACTCGGTTGGTGACCACATAGCTGCATACAATGGCGATAACGAGGGCCTATTTCGCGCGGCTATTCTGGAAAGCGGTAATGCTGTTGGTGCGCCACTCAATGGCACCGACTGGTACCAGCACATGTACGACAACCTGACCGAGTCGGTAGGCTGCTCAGGTGCCGAAGATACGCTCCAGTGTCTTCGTGACGTACCCTACGAGACCATCGCACCATATGGCTACCAAGGCCTTGAATGGTTCCACGTCATAGATGGCAGCCTGATACCTCGATATGGCCAACAATCGTTGCGAGAAGGCAAATTTGCGAAAGTTCCGCTTATTCTCGGCACCAACACCGACGAAGGCTTTGGTGTGAACGGGGTGAACAGCGACTCTGACGCTATCAATCAACTCGTACACTCTAAACGTTGGAACGTCAATGCGACTGTCGCGGAGAAACTTCTCGAGCTGTATCCGAACGACCCTACACTCGGCGAGCCGTACGGATGGGGCAATCGCACATGGCCACAGTATGGTCTGCAGTACAAAAGGTACCAGAGTATCGCGACAGATCTGACAATGTATGCTCCTCGGAGGTTGCTCGCGCAAAGTATGAGTGAGCACGTCGATAGGGTGTACTCGTATCGATGGGATGCACCGAAGTTCAACAACACGCCGGAAACAATTGGCGTTAATCACTTCTCTGAGGTCAGTACCACGCCATCATTGCGTTGCCGAAGAAGCAAAGACTGACTTTAGGACAGATACCCTTCGTCTTTGGGAACCCAGAACAGCAGCTTACCCCATTGGGCAACAGCTCCGAAAACATTGCATTGTCAAAGCTTGTCATGCGCATGTGGACTTCTTTCGCGTACGATCTTGATCCTAATGGTCATGGAGGTAAGCTTGAATATCTTTCATTGTGTGGGTGAGAGTACACTAACGCATGTTGCAGTATTACAAGCTCCCGAATGGCCGAGCTATGCCACCAACGCGACCAACTTTGTCTTCCGAAAAGACCAAAGCTATATCGAGGATGACGACGACAGAGCCGAAGGAGTTGCATACATCAATAGCCTAGTGCGATGAGGCTGTTTGCGAATCAGTCCCGAGAGGGCCAGATAGTTCAAATGCATGTTGAACAACTCGCAATTTTGCCAAATCAATGTGGCCACACGAAGTCTCGTAGCTCTGCATGGCCTATATCAGCCATCATTTACTTCTGAATGTACTCATGCCATTCCTTTTTGTGCGCGCTCTTCCTGCACTGGGTAATGTCGTAGAGATCTTGCGCGAATGTCGGATGTGGCTGTTCTAGAGCCTCAAAGAGGATGACAAGCTTCGGAAAGCCAGGACAAGCCCAAAGTTTCTCCTCATCCGAAAATGAGAACACATCTGGCGTATGATCTGCGATGGCTTTCCGCAAATTTTCGGAACGAGTACGCCACTGGTCGATTGCTTTAGAGAACTTCCGATCAACCTGCAACATGTGCAAAAGATCTCCAATGCGGACTCCATTCGTCTGGTGTACTTGACCTATCATCTGTAGTCCGTCGGAAAACATACTCACCGCGTATGTTCGCAAGACTTTGCATGGAGGTTGGGTAAGATACATGCCGTGAACAAGCTGCTCGCGGACTGTTCCTTTGACCGTCTCCAGTTGTTCCAGATATTCCAGTATGTGAGGCTTGATGATGATAGTGTAGCTGCTCTCGGTTGATCGAAAGCAATTACCGAATAACTCAACAAAGTATGGATTCACCCTGAACTGAGATAAATCCATCCATCGAGCTTCGCCTGATCCAGAGGAAAATTCCGGTAGGTTTTTAAACCTAGACTGCATGGAGGCCATCTGACGAATGCCATCAAGCACTGGCTGTGGGAATATACGTGCTTGCGTCCACAGCGCCGTGATGAAAGGATATATCAACATGTTTTGATCGCTACCCGGCGTACGGTTGACAGCGTTCTGATAGATCGTAGCCTCATCCTCGGGTGGCTGTAGCCAGTCCAGATCCGATGGAATAATGTCTCCGTATTCGACAGGTGGGCAGGGGTATGGGACATGGTATTGCGTTCCCAACATGTGGACAACGATCTCTCTCCAACGTTTTGATACATTGAATGCTTTATAATGAGCTCTGGGTGAGGTGTGAAAAAGGATTTGCTCCAGTATCTCGACGACATCCAGAGCGCGGTGAGGTTCGCTGTTACGTGTACGTGGCGAGGCTGACGACGTAGCGGGCGGGGCCTTTTGATGTGCGAGTTTGGGGTTGTAGAGCGCGATCCTTTTATCGATTGCGCGTATAGCAGAGGCTCTCCATTCTTCGATACTTTGCTCCAACTGGTCAGCATTCTTGGGTTGGTTGGCGGATGCGGGGTCCTCGGTGTCGACCATACTGGCAAATCTGGAACGATGTGTAATTGAGTTTTCTTGAGAAGAGAGAGAGAAAAGAGAGTTACAGAACTTGTCGACCATCTGCTGGAAAACCTGGTCTTTATGTGTAGGTCGGTTCCTAGGCAGACGGCAAGCACGTGATGTGGACCCTGCCGACCCGTGGACGTTTCCGTGGCTCTCTCGTACCGACCCAGCGTTCCAGCGGATGCCGAATTCGATCAGCCTTACGCTTATGCAATAACACGAAAGCGCACTTCTCATGCATCTTACGATTAATGTGGCAACCTTGCTTCGACAGACTGGTGGATGGTTGCGTGCCGGTACTGCCAGGCATCAGGACGAGAGTAGGGCATGACGTCAGATCCAACGACGACCAAAACCTCTGAACTCTTCCTGATCCTGTCTTAACTCTATCGCAGATTCCTTTGATCGAGAAGGTTCTTCGCCGATAGGGGATCGGATATCGTAGACGGGTGACAACACAACAAAACGTTAGAAGCGCTAGAAGCGGGAGGTACGAGAAGAGGCGCGTGGATAGGGGCCGCAGACTGGATCCACGGACAACGTGCAAGAGTCACAGCTGAAAGATTCAAAGTCCTCTGCAACGCGCGCCATGTGTAGGACGCACTAACCTCCCCGCGCGCGGCCTCGATGCTGACGCTCTCGCTCAAAAAGCCGCAAGAGGCTTAGTGTGTGATGACCCTTATCGGCCGGGCGTAGCAGCCTGCTCACTTCTTCCACCATCCATGAGATCGACGATTGGCGAGAATGGGATATGGTTCAGTTGGTGGCTACAGAGTCATGCAGACGTAAAGGGTAATAGTCGCGCTATCAGCGCTTGGTACGATGCTTGTTCTGACGGTGAGACCGTTTGGATGAAGGTGTACCGCGGACAGAGGGTGTATAAAGGGAGGAGGTAGCGCTGTGATCAACGACAGCAGTCCATACTTTCAACAACACTTCTTGACAAAGTTCTTCTTTATCAAACCGTATCCGATCAATATTACCACTCGAGCATCAGTCTCCGTACCAGTACAATCATCATGGCAACAGGAACCTCTTGCTCGACAGAGTGCATCAAAGGCTCAATCCACGCTGGAACACCCAAAGGCACCATCGAAACACTCCACGGCCTCTCCGTCTACGTAGTCGGAAACCGAACCACACCACGCGCAACAATCTGCATATACTCCGACATCTTCGGCCTGGGTCTCCCCAACAACAAGATCATCGCTGACGCCTACGCCGCCTCGGGAGAGTACCTAGTCTTGCTTCCAGACTTCTTCAAGGGCGACCCCGTCGGACTCAAAGTCGCTGATGCGCTGCTTCCCGTCGACGCGGCGGCGCAGAGTACATTCGCAAAGTATACGGGTATCTTGGCCAGTTTGCCGACGTTTCTGATGTGGCAGCGGAGGCATGGGAAGGCGGAGTCGGATAAGATCTGTCTTGACTTTATGCGGGAGTTGAGGCGCGCGACGCCGAGGGAGAGGAAGATCGGTATGGTTGGGTTCTGCTGGGGAGGAAAGTATGCTGCTCGTACGGGGTTGGAGAGCAACATGATAGAGATCGAGGGGGTGAAGAAGCCGCTTGTCGATGCGATCGTGGCGCTACACCCAAGCCACTTGGCCGTTCCCGAGGACGTTGAGGGCCTGGTTGTTCCTACGAGCTTTGCGTGGGGCGTAGAGGATATCGCAGTGAGCTTTGAGACGAAGAGCAAGGTGGAGGAATGTCATGCAAAAGCACAGAAGGCGCGGAAGGAATTCCCGGAGATTGAACACAAGGCGTATACGCCTGGCAGGCATGGGTTCGCGGTCAGAGGCAACCCAGACGATCCGCAGGAGAGGAAGGCTCTGGAAGACTCGGAGAAGCAGGTACTTGCGTGGTTCGAGAAGTGGCTTTGAAAGGTATTCTGTAATTCGGTAGCCGTAAATTGGTATCTCATCTCCGCGTATTCCAGAACTCATTATATGCACATCAGCGCCGCTCGCCTTTCCGAAGTCTCCTGCTGAGCTTCTCAATTCCGCCTGTATTTCTGGGGGATGTTCTTCTCCACAACACCCCTGAGCTCCAGCCTCTCCCACTCCTCTTGTGCCGCCTCCTTCTCCTCATGCATCTTGAAATGCGCAATGTCCTCTGGGTGGTTCAAGTCCTCTTCCTTCACATCGTCACCGCTGTGGTATTTCTCCCAATGATGGATCTCGTACTCGTACTCGTCGTCCCCGTGGTGGCCTGGGCCCATGCCAAAGTCCGGCAGCTTGACATTTTCCGAATCTTTTTGAAGGAACTCAGCCAAGGTGATGGAACCGTCCTTGTTGATATCGAACATGTCTAGGATAGTTTGAACGACCATTTGCTTCTTGGTCTCGGAGATGGAGGCGCTGGAGGGGTCTTCGAGACCGTAGGTTTTGCGGATGTCGACGGTAGTCCATAGACCAGTACTGTCGTAGTCGTGCATGTTGAAAAAGGTGGTTGCGTCGTAGCCCGCGATGTGATGCTCCTCTGCGACAGTGTCAGTGAACGGGCCTTCCTATTTGTTTCATGTTGTGGGGATCTGGGGAAGTTCATACCAGCCATGTGTCGCGTCGCCCAGTCGGCATCTGCTGCGACTTCGACTTGCGCATGTTCACCGCCGCCGTGCGCTGAGGCATTGAGAGCGCATGAAAGTAGCAGGAGCGCGGCGAATGGTAGTTTAAACATGCGATCCATAGTTCTTGAAATTGTAAAGCGCGAGAAGGGGTAAAGTTGAGTTGAGTCGTAGCCCAAATGTTGACGGTGGCCAGGGGCTCGGTCCCCATGTGGCCAACCGCCGACACTATGTCATAGGGGTCTCGAACTCAAGGTTTCCACGTGCAGCTCTCTTTCACCGCACCACCAACACGACGACCTCACCATGAACGTCCTGGCCCTCCTGAGCCTGTTGCTCTTTATCCCATTTCTCTTCTTCCTCGCGTTTCTAGCTGCATCGTCTTGCATGGGCGACGGCTTCCGCGCAAGATTCGCCGGCGTCACATTCAATCCTCGAAACGCATCGTTCGGTCGAAACTACACACGAGGGTTTGGGTCTGGAGCAGGCACCGGCGGCTGGGAACAAATTGAGATGGAAGACATGATGGGGGAAGACAGCGACTCGGAATGAGGAACTTAGCACACTCGACGAGAAGTATGGCTTGACTGCCCATCTCGGTGCTGTACAGGGTATCTTCACCTACACGCTACCGCCGATTTGAGCCTTCTAGAACTCCAAATCCTGCTTCTTCGGCATCTTGCTACCACCAGCCGCCTCTCGCACAGCCTCCTCCTGCGCCTCGGTATCGCCCTCCATCGGCGGTAGGCTGTACTTCGCGATCACAAATTTCCGCCTACTCAGCGTAAACGCCATGTCCTCGCCCAAGTCTCCCGCTCCACCACCGCCACCCTTTTCGTGAAACACCGGTAGTTTATGAACGGCGAACATACCCTGCGGTCGTTCTTCTTCCTTCGTTGTACCTGCCGATTGTGCAAGCGCTTGCGCACGCGAGTATGGGAACGGAGACAGCTCAACGACACCGTCAGAGAGGATCTCCATCCAGCGGACAAGCCCCGAGGATCTTGGATATAGGGTCAAGGGAATTGTGATAATGGCGGTCAGGCGCGTTTGATACTGTCGGAGTAGCGCACGTAAAGCGTGGAGGAATTGGAGTACGGAGGTCGGGTGGGCCGCCGACGGAGAGTATAATGCCGGCGAGAGTAGAGACGGTATCACAACGCGATGGATCGTGTGTGGTGGTGTCGATTCGAGCTGCTGCCGTATGTTCTGCAGAATCGGAGGGAAGGGTGACGAAGTGCCTGTCGGTGGAGGTATGGGCACATAGTTGACCGCTGTCCCTACAGGGAGCGTGAGGCGTTTGGCGAGATCGAAGGTATGGCAGAAGACTATCTGCTCTTCTGTCGCACTATCGCCTTGACCTGCTGTCCTCTGCACATTGGGAGAGCCTGTTGAGAACCTTGTCAAAACTGCTCGATTTATGGTCTTGCATTCGCAGAGTATATGTACACAACGCACCTCTAGCACTCTCAAACTGCCCCAGACCTTCGTACCTCCATGCGATCTTCATCTTCTCCGCTCGCTCCTTCCCTTCCTTTCTCTTGTCCGACTTGTCTTCTGATATGCCTGGCAATTCCCTGCCCCACACTTCGCCCATGCCTACTACATGCACTTTGTGGCCCTGCACCACTCCCTCAGCCGCATAGAACCGCAGTAATGCGCCAGCGTAGTCCGTCGTTCCACTCTCTCCTATGAGTATCGAGTTCCCTAGCGCTAGGCCAGCATGTCCTGCTAAGATGCCATCAAGCGAGGGTGTGCCGGTCGACGTGGTGGGGCGGCCATCGATGGGTGAGGGGCGGACGCCGGGGGGTGTTGGCGCAGGTCGTGGTATCGAAGGAGACGATGGCGCATTTGACGCGTCTTCGCCTGTCGGTGCGCGAGATAGCGCGATGTTGCGCTTGCGAAATGCCATTTGCGAGTGTCTTGGGCTGTGAGTCGCGACCTGTCGAAAATGTTAGAGGGGCTATCGATAAGCGTAAGTTAGCGTCAGACGTCATCCACCCAGCAGTCGCGACTGCTCAATCAATACAAAACGGGAATCGAAATTAATGTTTCTGCTATTTTCAGTTTGCCGACTGAGAGAATTCGAGCTGTAACTATCTATCTGCTTCTCGATACCGGGCGGTGGTTCTTCTTGATCCTTTTGCCCCAATACAGCATCTCCCCTCCATGGTTTCCGAGCATCACACGCATACCGATCGCATCAAGGGTCAGTCGCCCGAAAAACCCCGGGACATACTCCAAAGACGACCGCAATCTCTGTCCCAGTGCAGCTAGCCCTCAGACGTTCCGCGGTGTATCCCAGCCATCCTACTGTATCTCAGCATTGCGACCGCTTCAATATAATCTCAGATGCTCATTCCACGCCTAACTCTCCATAATCTTGCTCGAATGCTTTCATAATCGCCTCCTTCTTTTCGTCTGTACAGTCTGCAACCTGTATCTCGAGCAGCTCTTTCTGGTTCGTGTAAAAAGCTCGCGCTTTCTGCAACTTGGCTTCCGTGTTGGCGCAATCTTCCTTCCGCTTTTTCTCTGACTCATTCCGCCTGTTCAGTTCTGCTCGTACTCTCTGCTTTGATAGGCGGGCATTGAACATCTCATTCTTCAGCTTTTCTCTCTCTTCCGCAATCTCAATACAAGTCTTGTCGAGTCGTCTTTGCAGGAGCTTGTTTCGTTCATCAAGAGCTACTCTAGCTTGATTAGCGTCGGTACGCGCCATTCGTTCTTCAGAGAGTTGAGCTTCGAGTTGGCGAATTCTTGCTACATGCGCCTTTTTCTCGGCTGACGTGAGGGCCAGAAACTCGTCGGCGTTCTTTTGGACAGCGCTCTGGTCCTTGAAGAATTGCTTCATCTGATCTTACAGTCAGTACCATATAGGTTACTTATCTGGGGCTGATACGCCTACCTGGTCTGTATGATGCGTTCCATGTTTCTCTTTGTCTATTCTGCGTAAGCCAAGAAACATTGCTGGCAGATGTGAATGAATGTGGTTATAACTTACTCTTCTCTTCAATCTTATTGATACTGTCAATCTCGGCAGCGTGCTTCTGCTCTTTTTTGGGGACAGCATCTTGGCCTCGTTGGTTAATCTTATTCGGTGTTGTAGCTGGTATCTGGTGTCCATAGGGAACCGTGGATCGAACAGAGAGCAGTCGTTCTGCTGCATCATGACCAAACTGGTCGACTGAAATGTCGTTGAGCGGCGCTCCATTTGCTAAGGATTTGACGGCCCATTCGAAACTACCCAAAGCCCAGAAACATTCGAATTCTGGTATGGCACCCTTCAACATGAAATAGTATTGAATCAGAGTACGCAACTCGTAACCAAGTTTCTGCCCTCCCTCACGATATGAAGCTCGACCTGTCCTGAATGCAGGTTTGAACAGACGGTCAAGATTAACGCAAGGCGACGGGCACGTTAATGATAGAGTTCGTTCCAGACCGCATAGTTGGTAGACGTCGTTAAAACGATTAAGACTCTGGTGAGCCCATACAGCCTCGCCCGATTTGCTTGTGCCGATACGTAGCCTGAACGAAGCGATCTTGAGGCTTAGTTGTGCTTTTGTTCGATATGGCGAGGCTGATCCCCACGGAAGCTTTTCGACTGAAGGTAGCTTGGCGAATTCCTTGGGAAAATATTTCTTTGCGTAGTCCTGGATGTTCTGCAGAGTGATTGGGTTCGAGTTCGACATCTGTTCGGGTGTGTAAGCATTCATTTGTATTCCGATTCACGAGTCTAACAGACCTTGATGACTTATCGGATACCCATACGGACCTCAGTTTCGGTAGACTCTCCAGTTCTTTTTGGGATCTTGCGACCGTGGTAGATGATTGGAGTGTGATGCTACTTGCAGTTGATTCCACTTCGACTGCAGGTATCAATGCTGTAGAAGGCAAGAAGTGGAGCAAGAGCTTCTAGGAACAGACGGATGTGAGTATATATACCTTACAGAAACAAATCAGGTACTAAATCAGGGTAAGAGAGTCTCTCACTTCGACCTGACCCTTATCTCTCATTGGGTCGTTGCTGACCACACTACAGGTGGAGAACATCACTTGGAATAGTATCCCCATCTTCCAATGCAGGTGAGCAAAGTCACGGAGGTATCACTTATCTGCCTGCGATCTCTGGGTATAATTAGGATAATTGACGCAACACGTTGTTGCTGAGGTTGGTGATTGTACAGTAAACCGCACATTCCTGCGTTTACATCCAAGATCATGCTGCATTTATTATTTCAGTCCGATGTGTAGGTATGCCTTTGAGCGAATGTCAGCACACCGAAAGCGGATGCGAGTCTCCTGACGCGACATCGGCTCATTTTGATGGTGCGGAAGCGGCAGATGCACTGGACACACGGCATTTCGGAAACCTTGGAACTCTCCTTCCGCAGTTTTCTGCAGGCTATCCGAGAATTTCGAATAAAAAGATACCGAACAAGGACACTGTGATGACATGCGCGACAGATGGATGACTCGGAGTGCGATGCAAGGTGTGAGTGCTCTCCTTCGTCATGTGCTTTCTTCCCATTGTCTCGCGCTAGGGTCCCGACACGGCTAGCGCATTCTGCTAGCGCCAGCTCCAAGAAGGCTGGACAGCACTCGATGCTTTCAGCATTTTCGACACAACTCTACTTTTTCCATCTAACTCTATTTCCAATACAAGGTCATGGCGGAGGATGAAGAGATTGAGTCTGCTCTGATTCCAAGTCTCTACAAACCGCCCGCTTTGCTACCTATCGCGCAACTCAAAGATCAACTCCTCTACACGATAGAGACATACCCTGTAACTATTGTCGTTGGTGAAACAGGAAGTGGTAAGCTTCTAGAATCTCTCACAAGAGGGCATGACTGACATGTGGCCTTAGGAAAGACAACACAAATACCGAAATTTCTGCTAGAAGCCGGCTGGTGCAATGGCGGCAAGCAAATAGCCATCACGCAGCCCCGACGGATAGCATGTACTAGCGTAGCAGCAAGAGTAGCAGAAGAACTGGGTACGCCACTTGGTCAACAAGTCGGGTACAGTATCAGATTCGAGGATGTCACATCCGCGGCTACGCAAGTGAAGTTTGTCACAGATGGCCTGTTACTGCGTGAAATGCTTGTCGATCCGCTACTTTCACGCTATTCAGTCATTATGGTCGACGAAGCGCATGAACGAAGCTTGTCTTCTGACATACTTCTGAGCCTACTGAAAAAGGTGCTGAGGAAGCGAGAAGACTTGCGCGTTGTTGTAAGCAGCGCTACGCTAGAGGCGGAACGCTTCCTTGACTTCTTCAACCCCGATGATGGCGAAAAGGTCCATGGCAAGAGCAAGGAAGAATTCGGGTACATCATTGGTATCGAAGGGCGCACATATCCGGTTGAGATCCAGTACCTGCAGGAACCAACGAACGACTACGTGGAAGCAGCAATCGATACGGTAATGAAGATCCACGAGCACGAGAGCGAAGGCGACATTCTCGTGTTCTTAACAGGACGTGAAGAAATAGACGATGCAATCGACAAGCTGGGTGACCGCATTGCCGATATGTCGTCATCCAAGCAAAGGCTCATGCCCTTGCCCCTCTACGCTGGCTTGCCAACGGAAGACCAAAATCTCATCTTCACAAAACCGCCACAAGACACGCGACGCGTCATTTTTAGTACCAACATCTCAGAGGCATCTTTGACTATTGACGGCATCGTCTTTGTGGTGGACTCAGGTTATGTCAAACTTCGCGCCTACAACGCCAATTTAGGCATCGAAAATCTCGCTGTCGTGCCCGTATCGAAAGCTAGTGCCACGCAAAGAGCGGGCCGTGCTGGACGGACGAGGCCGGGCAAGTGCTTCAGACTATATCCTGAAAGCGTTTACGAAAGCTTGGAGGAAGCCACGTTCCCAGAACTCGCCCGCTCGAATCTCGCACCTGTGATTTTGCAGCTTCTCAATTTGGGCATCACAAACGTGGTGCGGTTCGACTACCTCTCGCCGCCGCCATCAGCACTAGTAACGCGCGCTCTGGATCTACTCTACTCTCTCGGTGCGTTGGACGCTCATGCTCGCCTCACGAAGCCCCTCGGGACGCGTATGGCGGAGCTCCCGCTCGAACCAATGCTTGCTCGCGCATTGTTGAAGGCCGCAGAACCGGAATTTGGCTGCTTGAGCGAAATGCTCACAATAGCCGCAATGATGACTCTGCAAGGCAATGCTTTCGTTTCTCATGACGGCGGAAAGAAGCAGCTTGATGCTGCGCGACGGAAATTTGCAGTAGCAGAGGGTGACCACCTTACACTGTACAATGTATACGAGGCCTTCGTGAAAGCTGGGATGGGCAACACATCGTGGTGCCACTCGAATAGCTTGAACCATAAGTCGCTCGTCAAAGCAGTCAGCGTCCGGAAACAACTGGCTGCTTATCTGGATCGTTTCGGTGTCAAGGAAAATGTCCTCGCTTCATCAGGCGTGCTGAGGGTTGGCGGTATACCACTCGCCGAGCGCGTGCGTCGCTGCTTGACGACTGGGTTCTTTGCACATGCCGCGAGGATGAAGGCAGATGGGACATTTACCACTGTTGATGGAAAGACGACGTTGTGGCCTCATCCGACGTCTGTGTTCTTCACGCGGAAGGCGGATTGGGTCATATACACTGAGATTCAGTCTACAAGAGACAAGATCTACATTAGGGATTTGAGTACAGTAGAGATGGACTGGTTGACGGAGTATGCACCGGAGTTCTACAAGATCAAGAATGGTGGTCGATGAGACGAGAAGAAAAGCAGTTTGCGGGTATCTATCAAAACTAAAGGCATAATTACATAAGGACATAACGACAGGATTGCTGCTTGCCCGCAATTACTTGCATGCGTCGACGAACAGCTCTCGCATGCCCTTCAGGAAGCTTGCCAAGTCGCGCGTTTCATTCAGCCTGTCCACAACCGTCTCGACCTCTTCGCGCTCGACCTTGGGCCGCATCTCTAGCACCCTGTAGTCGCGTTCGCTAGTATCCAGTTCAAACCACGCCTCGCGGTCCCACTCCCTCTCATCAACGTTGGTATACACGAACTTTAGCCTATCATCTTTGCCCAGCCCCTCAATCCTCAAGCCCAGATAGTTCTCCCAGAAGTCGAGTTCTGGCTCGTTGTAACGGCTTTGCCCATCGAGGTATCGGCGATGTTTGAGTTGTGCTTCACGGCGTGCGGAGATGGTCTTTTGTACTTCGGCGATTTGGGCGCGCAGGCTGTCACGGTGGGCTAGGCGCTCGTCGCGCTGGAGGGTGAGGGCGGAGATGGCTTCTTGCATCTCGGAGGTCTCCTGGGATTCTTTGGAGATTGTTTGGCTGTGCTGGGCTGTCTTGAGTTCGAGGATTTCGATGTCGCGCTTCTTCATGCGTTGGTCCTCTGTCATGATGGTCAGTATGCAGTCGATTGGCGCGCACATGAATGGGGTCTTATCATACCATGGAGTTCTGCGACATTCATGCGGAACTGGTTGCGCTCTTCCAGTACTCGTCTGCGTCCGTTCTCGATGAAAGCGTCGAATCGTGTGGTGAACTGGTTCATGCGACTGCGCAGATCGTCAAACCCGAAGTTGATGCTGGGTAGTTGGTCGGCCATGGACGGCGCATCGTGTGAGGACGCGCGCATCGTGGTGCTCATGGAGGGCTCGAAGGTCGTCATAATTGCGGTTCGACTAAGACGTCTCTCGTGGCGTATGCGGATATGTGGTGGGGTGCGATGCGACAATGGGTGGTGAGGGCGGATGAGATGGTTGCTCCGTAAACAAACATGCGCGCTAACGCGGCAGGAACGATAGCGGGGCGCATGCACGTGCCGACGCGACTTTTGGCGCTAGTGGAACTTTTTGGCGAGGTTCCAAGGTTACTTTCATCATCGCGTCCGGCGCATGCTCAACCTTGACAGACACAATTTTCGCTCTCGTATACGGCCTTTCGTTTTCTGCGTACAAAGAATGAGTTTATACTCCAGCATCGTTACGGATCGAGAACCTTTACGACAGCCCAATGGCTGATAGATCGCTCAAAGATCTGAACTACGGCCATCCCGGTGCAGCGACTTACGACTTGGAGAATGGAGAGTGGACGTTTGCCAGACCTTATTCCGCACGCCCATTCAAGCGCATACGAACTTCGAAGGGCGCGACTCCTGCGAGCAGTCATGCGACACCGGCATTTTCCCTCCCTGCAGAAATTCTAGCGAGTAGGACCAGCATACAGAAAGAGATCAGCAACAGCATCGAAGAACACCCTCAGCTCTCTGCAGCAGCCGAAGTCCTCCCCGATCTAGCTGTAGTATCTGCTGCCATATCATCCACGGCTTCGACCTACGATCCGCTCGTCGGCGACCTACTCTCCTTCGGTTCGATTACACCCAAGGGTAGACACGAGGCATGGCAAATAGCTGCATTGCCGACGGGAGAATCTGGCAGCATACTGCAGTTGTCAATCCTAGACAACGAAAGACACGTTTGGACAGCAGACCCGAAGTCATGGGTAGAAGGGCGGACCTTGAAAGACACGGAGAGTGGCTTCTGGAATGAGGAAGCGGCACCGATCCAGCAAGTTCACTTTTCGCATTCGGATGACAGCAGAACTTTTCTGGCTGTGCGACTGCCTACCCGTACTGTCCTCTTCCACCCAGACTACCACCGCCGACCACGCGCTTCCGCTGTCTCACCGTTCTACCGCTTACCCGCCTCCTCGATCGAACTCCACCCTATACTCAGCATAAGTCAAAACGATACTGATGGCTTTGCTCATGCCGACGTCACATTCAATCCAGACTTCCAGTTGCAGTTTGCACTCGTCGACCTGAATCAGACCTGGAGTGTATGGGACATCGAGCATCGGCCCAGACTTGGCACGTACTTGGCTTCATGCCTGCTTCGTGGAAAGATCGATGAACTGGAAGAGGACGGGGATACAGCTTGCGAAGACGGTTGGGCGAGGATTCTCTGGGTGGCTGATACAACGACGTTGCTGGTATGCAACAGGCGCCATTTGAGCATCGTCAGCATCAAGGGCAGGACAACGTCATACCTTCCCTGCCCAGAGCTTTTCAGTGAGCGATCGGCAGACTGGGTCTTGGATGTCAAGCAACACCCAAGAGATAGAAGTCGGGTTTTCGTCTTGACCTCTACTCGTTTATTCCTCCTTTCGGTCACTGCACCAAGTGAGCTGCTTCCGAGGGCTGGTGAGGCTGGAGCTAAAGTCCTCACATCCTGGCGGCACTACCGGGGCGTGGAGGATTTCACACTTCACATAAGCGTGCAGATGCTGTCGGATGATGGTAAGTTGCAGATCAATCGCGCGACAAAAGCTCTCACTCACAGCCTGATAGAAACATGTGTTATGCTCCACTCTCGAGTTAACAACTTGGTCCAAATACAAAGCTTCCGCAGCAATACCTCCGATTCTTCCGGCCTCGTTACCAGTTCAGATCCGACCCTGCTAGACCTACCCATCGGTGGTTCCGCGCACATAACCAACTTGTACATCGAGCCCATGCGATGGGAATACTCAAAGAAAGACTGCGTTTTCCTCCAACTGTTTGTGACGCTCTCCGACTTAAGTACGCGCGAGCTGGTTGTCTGGAGTCGGAGCACCTCGACAGGACATACCACCGAAGATGACCATGCCGTTGTAGACTTCACGCGAAGCACGATCAAACGCCCTAGAAACATCATCTTCAACTCGAAACCACGCAACAAAGACGAGGATTTCATAGTGCCTAATGGATTGGTCGACAGAGGGTTACCAAGCTCCAAGATTGGCAGGCAGCAGCCAGAATTGCGCAGATCCTCAGACGGTGCTGCCATGCCGGAAACTCGGGACAATGCTTCTCTGGGCGAGATTCTATCTCAGTCAAAGAGCGCGGCGGAGCAGGTCTCGGGTACCATCGATGCGGTGGCCGTCATGGATCAAGTGAACGAAATGCTGGCGACTGGTGCAGACTTGCCACCTTTACCATTGGGTACTCTGTAAGTGAACTGGGTCTTGTTTGCATTCTGAACTAACAATTGCAGGATGGAGTTTACGCACACGCAGTTCCATGTTGCAGACATTGATGAAGCTTCGTCCAACTTTCAAGAGCTGTTCTCCTCGCCAAATGGTCAAGATACTGTGGACGTCCAGCGTATCGCAGCTATGCGCGTTCTTGGCTTGACCGACGACAGCGACCTTACCATATCCGATGCATACGATAGTATACTCCAGACATGGGTTGCGCCTATGCCACCGGATATACCAATTCGCATTCGGCAACGCCAAGAACTTCTGGCTCGGCGAATCGCTACGGAGTTGATGTTCTCAAGCACATGTATACGTGACGATCGGATCCAAGTACCCGCTGTTGGCATACAGCGGGGGCAGAGCCAGGACAGTACCGTAGCCTTACCCATCTTGCCTGCAAGACCAAAGGAGGCTACCTTCAACTTCACCTCCAGATATCCTGCCTCTCAGCCTTTACCGACACCGCCATACTCATCTATACCACCTTCGTCTTTGCCTCCATCCTCTGTGTATGGATCGTCCCCACCCGAGATACCTTCCATGGAGCCAGCTTCATCAGACCCCCTTGGTCGACTTAGCAAGTATCTTCAGACTTCCAAAGACCCAGTCATCATTCCGCCAACCGTGTCCCAAAGTCTCGCGCATTGGGAATCAGAAAAGGATCCCAATACGTACAATTGGGTCAGCATGGAGCGTACTCTTCGGGCCGAAGAACTAGATGAGGAGAGCCAGCAACAACGCGACAAGGAACGCAAAAAGAAGGAACGTAGGGAAAAGCGCCAACAACGTGAGAACGAGCTCATGAGGGCTAAGACTGCGAGTCAACTTAACGCATACCCGAGAAGCTCTCCAGGGCCAATGCTGGGTGGTATGGGTAGCAGCAGTCAGGTACCGAGTCAGAGCCAAAGTCAAAGCCAGGTACCATTCCAGACTGGTGGCTTCATGATGCCACAAAGCCAAGTAGAGCGGGGCAAATTTGGAGGAAAGCTAGACAAGAAGAAGAAAAAGAAGGGGAGGATCAGTGGATTTTGAGTTTCGGGTTGGCGCATCGTTCCGTACATGTGACTCCGGAATGCAAAGGCTACACATGCGGAGAGCGGATGCCTCTCATTTGATGCCGTCACCGGTGCGGAAAGAAGGAAGCTTCTCCCCTCAAAGTGGGGTCAGAGGGGTAGCTTCCGCATTCAACTACATAGCTTAGCTCCACCCCAAACCCATCGTACATACCAAGGATCGCATCCAATACAAGCAATTGAATCTACAAAAACATCACCAAAGTCCTTCTGCAACATCAAAAAATGTCAGGCTTCCCATCTCTCCAGCCCGCTTTCACCGTCCGCGTCGACATCGATGCGCCGATGCAAGTCGGAGGCCAGCATGGCGCGCAGTTGGTCATCGTCCCTATGGTATCCGGTACAGTGAAGAGTGAACCGGGCTTCGAGCCAAAGCTGGATGGTGAGCTGCACGGTACCGGCTACGACTACATTCACAACGATGCCGATGGCGGAAACATGCGCCTGGATGTTAGGAGCCAGGTCAAGTGAGTGCAGAGCCATCCATATCTAATCCATAGAATATCATGGACTTATGAATGTATAGGAACCACGATGGAACGATCTTCGCAATGTATTACAAGGGCACCGTGAAGCTCACGCCTGGTGTCGGCAAAGTGCTATCTGGTGCCTCGGATGCTAAGACTACGGACTACGGCGATTCATTCGTCAACTTCACTTTCGAGACTGGCAACGAGAAGTACAAGGACCTACAGAACGGGACGTATGTCGCTGCCGGCCATTTCATCACAGGCGAGGGAAAGCCAGGTGTTGTAGTGGAGTACAAGGTTAGCAAGGTTGTGTACAAGGCGTAAGTCAGCACACGTGTTGGGGGTGAGTGAGGCTGTATCGGGTTATACATGAAGATGCTGATGCCTGATCTAGGGCGAAGACGGGTACAGCGCGACCTGTATATAATCCCAACTTATAATCAATGACTGTTCCGATCCTCTTCTTCCGCTGTGTCCCAGTTCTCTCTACTGTTTTACAAGTCCGCTATTTGTTTCCTCGCATTCGCCAGCACGTGGACTTCTGGGTGCTCTCGTCACAGATCCGTTTGCCCCGCCACGTCGGCTCACCTTCACCTCCTCGAAACTCAACGCGGCGTTTGCTCACACTCTTGGCGCGTCCGACGCGAGCTACAGCCTTCTCATCTTTCTGATTCTCCACATGATAGCTTCATTTCCTTGTCCAACTGCTCACATTGAATATCACCTGCGGAAGGTACACAGAGCGATTCGTCGTCTTCTACTAGTGAGTCCACTGCTTGTGTGTGCCCTGCCAAGATGCACCGACTAACTTCAGAACTAGCTGTACAACGGTTCGACCCACGCGCAACATGCCAAACATCTCGCCCGCGAGCCTGTCATCAAGGAAGAAGTACAGTCTGGGCGACTTTGTTCAGTATGCTAGAGGCAAACATGAGGACCAATATGCCGCGGTCGCCGATCTCAGCATATACAAGTTCGCCGACAAAGCATATCTGGACGAGAACAACACACCTTGCCGCCGGCATATGCTCCTCGTCGGTCACTATTGGCGAAAGAGCGGCGGTCGGCCTGCGTGGGCACATGCGACTGGTACTCACATACGCTACTATTCGGGTGAGGGAATTCAGGTCAATCCACTGATTCAGGACATCCAATCCTCCAAGGTCTACTACGGAACGCCCTTCAACGCGATGAGCGGCATTCACGACTCCAGCAACACGAAGCCTCGCATGACTGTCGAACGCAAGTTCGAGCGGGCCCTGGTCGAGTCTGTCATTAACTTCATATTCCTCAAGAAGGGCCAATTGGTATGGGCGTTGGATCTGGAGAGTCCGGACATGCTCGGAAGCTTTAGACTGGCGTGCAGGAACTTTGCGCAATACCAGAAGATGCCTCGGACTGACACGAGATCTCTGGATGAAGAACTTCTGGACATCCAGGCAGAAAATGCAGCAGTACAGGAGCAGGCTCAGTTCATCCAAGGATACAGCGGCGGCAACGGTCTTGCGTTCAGAAGCGGGTCCTCGGCCTTGACGCTCCCTGCCAAACGCTCCTTCGTAGACCTGACGGACAGCGCATCTGATGATGCATCGCAGGGTGCGTGGACCACTCATTTCATATCTAACAAGCTGCTAACGTCGCAATGTAGGCTCCAACAAACGTTTATCTCCATCCGTAAGTACCGAACTTCTCCTGCCTTGCACATCAACACCATCAATCTGCGCATGAGCGACCGCTGACTAGTCATTGTAGGAGTCCGCTGTCGCGAACCAAGACGCCGAAATATACGCTGGATTGGAACAAGAGGTGCAGGCTCTCAGAGCTAAGCTTGAACAACAGGAAGCCAAGATCGATGCATCCGAGGCTGAGGTCATGCGGCAAAAGGCGAAGAGACGAACCTTACGAACGCAACGAGAAGAGTGGAAAGAAAAGTACATCGCCCAACAGAGTCTTACCCAGGCACCGGCCGAAAGTGTCAAAGAAGAGGAAGAGAGTGAAGATTGGAAGGGGATGCTGTTCGAGCAAGAAAGAAAGACTGAGCATTACAAGCTCAAGTACATTGCGCTGAAAGAAGAGAAGAGAAATTGGCAGGTACAAGTCAGAGAGCAAGTCAAGGATATTGCAGACGACGAAGCCGTAATTCACCCCACCGGCACCGGCATATCAGACGACCATATACAAGAGGGAGATAGGGTGAAGCAGCCGAGCGAACACGGTGGAAAGAAGAATGCTCTGATAAGTCAAACCAAACCCAGAGCCATAAGACCGACAGAGAGAAAAGATGCTATCTTACTTCGTGAAAGTCTGACGAAGTATTGGATGTCTACTTCAGAATCCATGGAGAAGTATTTCGACGGCCGAAATCTTAACAGAAAAAGGCGAAAAGATTTGGTATTAGACGAATTGACCATGATGGCGGCCTTACTGCTTCATGAGGAGCAACTCAAGGGTGTTGATGTCAAGCGAGAAGATGTGAAAAGGCGGGCGTATATTCAAGCAGTTGAGCAAACCGAGCACTTGATGGAGACACAGGGAGTTCTCGTCAAGGCCAAAAAGGCGAAGAACAGGTCAAAGCGAACTACTCTGGCGTGAGTGTCAGACTACGCATGTTCCAGACTACAATGTGTTTATAGAATGCAGAGTACAGAAAATTGACACGTATGCCAACGACAATCTATCTCTTGGAAGCCCACGTTGTTCTTAGTTAATGATCTAGGCCTACATCTTAGCATCGTCTTGGCCTAATCTTGTTTCATGGATGCCCTTCCTTCCTACATGTATTTTTTGAGTTGTTCGAAGTGTAAGTGATAGTTGCATGTTACGCATCAGGCTGAACTATGAGTGCGAGGCCGACATCCCTACAACATACGTCGTCCGCAGAGTCATTCTTCCCAAATTCCATCAACGTACAAAGATACGTCAGGGCACATTTAGTCTGAAGGGATATGTACCGCTACCACAGTAATGCGCCGATGAGCTGGAGCTCATGGGATGGAAAGTACTTGTTATGCGTTTGAGATGCAGATGTACATCATTGGGAGAGTTGTACATATGAAGAAGATGATGTCTGGCTAAGTGGGTCTAGTTGCATATGTTCCAGAATACAATGCGCTCAAAGACTATATAGTACATTAAACCAGCACGTTTGCCAACGAGGATGTAATCTTAGAAGGCCAATGTCGCTCCTTGACCCATGACATAAGCTTACATCTCAGCTTTGCGTTGGCATGACTACATATCATGCATCCGCTTTCCTGCTACATACGTCTTTCATAGATCACGATTTCATTGCAGAGTCATTTGTCGCTGCTGGGGTTGAGTGTAAAGACGCCTGGTTCGCGTGAAAAGCCCTTGTAGACTACCGCTATCGACTTACCAACCCAGCAATATGCACACCCAAAGGTCCTTGCCAAAGACTCCAGGCTCGAGCGCGAAGCCCAGGAAACTACATGTGTCGTCCACATACTCATCCTCGCCCTCAACGACCGGTTCCCCAACCCAGCCAATCACCCGAATCCCCCTTAGCTGTCAAGCTCGGGTACCCACCCGCTCCTCAATTTCTCCCCTTCCTTTTGCGCGGCACAACTTAGCGCACCTCCAAACACACACCCTCTCCACTCCTCGGCGCCTGCAGTGTGGCAGCACCCGTCTCCGCGATTAGTTGATCAACTATTGAACCATCGGCACTATTCGTAGCGACAACCGACACCGACTCAGCAGCACGAGTCAGCCCTTCGCACGATAAGGATGCGTGAGTCGAGAAAGCATTTGCTTATGGAAAGCCCGACGGGGTCGTGATAGGTCTTGGCTTGTGCCGCGTATCTGCCGTATGGATGCCTGATGGATTCAATCGTGAATATAGTTATCTACCGAGTGTTGGACAAGGATCCCCACGTTACGGCACCCAGCACAGTACCAAACACGCTCAACCCGTTCTATGTACGCTCGCGCTCCCGGCCGCCGCGAACGTGGGGAGGAAGGAAGGAAGGGGCTGGGGCGACAGCAAGGCGGCCGTTGTCTTAGTCGTACGTGTTAGTGCGGGATGACATCTCCTGTGAGCTATTTTCCGAATAGTGCCAACGGCGCTAGCTTCAAGGGGTCTGACTGTTGCAGATGTGTGGACAGACGAGGAAAAAGTAAGTACTCGGGGCCCATCAAAACTTTACTGTTTGCGATGGCGGTTGCAGTAGCTGCGGGCCTGATGCGTCCCTAGGTCTGAGGCTGTGGATATTGATCGTCGCGATTCGATCTTCGGCATGTTGGTGGTGTCGTGGGGATCTGAATGGCAGGTGCGGTCCAGGTGGTTGTCAGGTCTCGGCTGCTCTCCGCGAATGAGAGCGTGTTAGTGTCTTGGCAGGAGAGCCCTCTTGCTGTGGGCGCCTTCGATAAATGCTTGCGTTTTGGAGGGACGGTATGATGCTGGTGCATAAGTGTACGCATGGAGAGATCAATGGGTGTGATTGGTATCAATGTATTACACTATTAGTCTTGGGACTATGCTACAGTCGGCAAGTAAGTCGATGCTAGGATGCCATTGGAGGCAGGTATCTGAGGACTATGCGGCTATGCAACCAGTCGTAGGCGTTGAAACGGCCTGTGCTTCATGCAGTGTCGTTATACATAGATGCGAAACTAATGAATAAAAGAAAGATGAGTGGACAAGAACTCGTTGAGTCGCGACTGTGATGACGAAGTGGCCGTTGTGGTCGTGCCGAAGCGAGACGTGATAGAGAAGGATGCAGATAACCGAGTGTGACAGAGGCGCGTCGCGCAAAATTCCGTCTGATGAGATGGTGGCGCCTTCGATCGACACCACCACATGCAAAACAAGTAAGTGACCCAATCCGATCACATTATGCCCTTGAGGCCGCGGAAGCCACCAGTTTTGGAAGACGAAGGCTTCTTCTGTTCCTTCTCTTTGACCTTCTTTCCGATGTTCTGAGCGCCGCCTGTCTCATAGTCAGCCTCCGATGTTGCAGAACGTAATACCGATAACTTACCCCGCCCGTATATCCGGACCTCCGATTTCGGGTCTACTTTGTCTTTTCTCTCCTTACTTGAGCTTCCATCGGTGTCGGCGGAGAAACTACTCTGTCCGCTAGATTGAGGCTTTGGAGCCTGAAACTGATTGTGGAGAGACGCATCATATGCTGCGGAAAAGTTTGGTCCGTATCCGCCACCAAACCCAGGGTACGGCGATGGCGCTGTTTGAGATCGTTGCGGCTTCCCCTGTTGTAGTGATTCAAGCCGAGCAGGACGAGGTGGTGACGCGGCTGATCCTGGGCTGTGGACGGAGTCCGGCGATCGGTATTCGTAATACTCTTGCTCCTCGCTGGGGGTGGCCTCGGCAGTAGATAGAGGTGTCAAATATCTCGAGCTGTAGTTGGTCGCCTGTCTGAGGCTGGAGTTGCGACTGACCCGTGAAGTGCCAAACTCGATATGACCAGACTTGTCCCGGGGATAGAGCTGTCCCATCTCAGCCTCTCGCTCCCCTTCGAGCTCATGGTACTTCATCTGCAGCTCGGTATATTGCTCAAGGAGGCGGTAATGAGTCTTCTTGAGTTGCTGCATTTTGGCATTGCTCGCTGCAAGCGCAGAGTCGAGCATCTGCTGCACAGACGACGGCAGTTGCCCTGGCTTGCCAGTGCTTCTGTCGGAAGATTGTAGTCGGGACTCGAGCTCCATAATCCGGCGCTCGTAAGCCTTGATCGACCGCTCGCGTTCCTGCTCACGGCTGTTCAACCGCATGTTTGCGATTTCGAGATCGTTGCGCAAGTCGTTCCGCTCCTGGATGAGGGTATGTAGCTCCTTCCTCTGGTCTTCGAATGCTATGATCTTATCTTGCGCACCCTCAAGCTCCCGCCTAATGTCGGCGTAGTCTTCAAGCTCGTATTCCAACGCTTTGGTTCGTTGTTGGGCTTTTAGTTGCTCTGCCTCAGCTCTCTCCACAATCTTCTTGAGTTGCTCGTAGTCTGATTGTGTCCTTTGGAGCTCATATCGCAGACCGCCCTCGTCACTGTGCCAGGTCTTTTCACTCTCTTTGTACGATCGCACCTTGTTGTTCAACTCGCTTTCCCACTTCTTGGACTGACTGCGACTCGTGAGCGTTTCCTTCTTGAGTTGGGCGTACAGCTCGTTTGCCTTGGCGAGTTTGGCTTTTAGTGTCTTGTTGGTGTTGATCAGATTCTGAGTCTCCGCCTCCACAGTCGCTTCTTTGATGTGCTTCCGCTGTAGCTGTCCGATGTGAGCAAGATGCTGCAATTTGAGATACCGCTCAAAGTTGAGGTCATTCCGAAGTAGCATGATCTCTCTTTGCAAAGACGCCATGGTGTGGTTTTGGAAGTCATGGTGGGTAGATTGATTGCCGGAGATTGACTGGGCGAAACTGTCCAGGCTGGGTTGATGTGCCACGAACCGCCGTGCGGATTGACCAGACATATCCGGCTTCTTTGTATCTTTAGTGGGCGGCAGTGTTGGAGAATCCATCATGTCGCGACCTTTCAGCAACGGTGAGGCCATGGACTTGATAGATACCGCGGACTTTATAGACTTGCTCCTTGATGGGAGTTCAAGATCGGGAACATCTGGAGCATCGCTTGACGAAACGTTCATAGTCGACTGGGTATTCCTCCAGCTTGCATCTGAATCGTGTACTGTTGTGCCGTCCTGGTCGTCCAGAGTGAATTGCGAGGGTATCTCTGGGACAGGGGGTAAGGCTGAATTGGGTGGTGGGCCGGGGTCCTCCAAAGTCGACGATACGGCAACGCAAAGGTCCATACATTCTATGACGACGTCTGCGGGGTCGCTTTTCAGCCACCTGTTCTCGCTCAGCTCGTCTTCGACAGTGGTTGTGAACATGTTCGGGTGTAGTAGATGAACGCGGCGGTAGGGTTCCGTCCGGCTGTGGATGAGATCTTGGTCCAGGTCGAAGTCGCGCGCGCCTGGAAAGTTGAGTGACTTGAGATACTTCCTTGGCTTGCGCACAAAGCTCATGAAGTTGAGAGGAAAGAGGCCGTATAGGAAGGTGAAATAATGCATAAGAGTCGGCGGCGGGCAATCAGGGTAGTCCATGGCTGGCTGCACCTGCTCCCAGGCCTGTTCAGAGTCGGCATCGGTTTCGTCGTCCCCCTCTTCGCTATCGTCGTCTTGCATGTCCATATCACCGCCTTTCTCGTCGGTGTTACCCAACTTGTCCCAACATAGTATCCGACAGTAGACCAGAAACATTTTCTCGAGGTGGTGATCGGAGGTCAGTGCTCCACATATGTGAGGAAGGAACATGATGAGGACGACAAGGGCGAGCTCGATGACAGTGGACGAGTTGTCTATGAGCAGGCATTTCTCAAGGTTCTGGATGAGCGGGGTTTCGAGGACGAGGTGGAGGTGCGGCGGCTGGAGGCGGACGAAGGCACTGAGCAGGTTCAAGGCCTGTATGCGATGCTGCTTCTGCAGGAGGAGATTGTCGAGCGTGAGGAGGAGGACCTGGAAGTGTTAGTCTAGGCTACTATACTAAGGGAACGTACTCACCTTGGGCATCTTGCGCCCAAAGTCGACCAGGACAGCTTCGAGCTCATGGGCCACAAACTCGTTCTCTGGCCTCACGGCATCTTCAGGCGAGGCAGGCACGTTGGTCCGCGCCAAGTATGCGTCGAGTATCTTCTTGGTGAAGAGAGCGGATAAGCGCGCATGCTCCCCATCTTTGTCGACCTCATTGTCGTACACCAATATACTCTGGATAAAGGCCCTCGCATCTTCAATCTCGCTCTTCTTGTAGCCTATGCCGTCGATGACAGGCCTCAGGGCCGAGTTCCACCAGGCGGTCAGACGCGCCTCGCCCGTTATCGCGGGCCGAAGCAGTCGCAGAGCTGATAAGAAGGCGCCGCGCTTTTCGGGACTACTGGCGACGTGGCGGAGGTATAGCGCGTGGAGATCATCGTGAAAGCGCTGGGAGTCGTGGTCGTCAATGTCGTCATAGCGCTCGAGGAAGGCTTCTATGGTCGCATAGAGCTCGTCGGGGAGAGGGTAGGGGACGGTAGTGGCCGAGAAGGTTGTGTTCAGCGCCTTCAGCGACTCGCGCATGGAACTGAACATGTTAGCGATTCCGTCTGAAGTATTACTAAGGCTACTAGGACAGCAGGTATCGCAGCTTACCCTGACATGGTGTCTTGTATCTCCACTTGCCGTGGTACAGATGCGCTACGGCAGGCGGAGTGCACGTATATGAGTGTTTACGGGTACGGAGGCAACGTCTCGGATAGATGCACGAGGGTCCAGCAGGCAGTAGGCATGTCACTGGGCATGCAGGTCCGGTCTGGGGAGCCAAAGCTTTTTGACAGCGCGAGTGCGTGGGGTGAGGATGAGGGACCAGCGAGCCGCAGCAGAGGGTTCACTGGCTCCGCCTGCTCGCAATTGCTCGGAGGTGCTTTTGCGGGAGCATGCCTCAGTGATGCGCGGCGCTATCGACCAACCCCAGAGATGCGCCAAAACAAATCTCACGTCTCACTGCCGGCGTCCCAAGAGCGCGCAGGGCCTGTTGGGGTTGATGATGCTAACCCGAGGTGCACCGCCCAGTCGCGGCTAGAGGCATGCGAGAGGTGCCCGTGCGTCACGGCCCTGCAAGCCACCACAAACGGCCTCGAAGCCACCATGCTTGCTTGTGCCCACCACCCCTGAAGCCATCCCATTTGCCTTCGGCCCACTCTCACCATTTCCGTGTGTAACTATCAATCGTCAATCAACCCCCAGTCACACAATTACCAGACGCGATTGCTATCCTAGTCGCTCCTGGGAAGCATCGCGTGATGCATACTCAAACACGATCAAACATCGCCAGCGTATCTCTGCCATCCTATCACGGCCTCCTGCCCATATCCGTCACTTCGGAACACCCTGGGCGGCCCTGTTTTCTCACGGATTACTCTACCCAGTTCTGCGCAGCCCAAGTGGACTCGAGCAGCCTTGCCATCACGGCAGCCGCTCGCCGCACCTCCAATCAGGCGTGGCAGAGAGAAACCCTTCCAACTCGAGTCTGTACTCATCACATAAAATCACCCAATGATTACATGTGTCAGTCAGAGCTTATCTTCCGCTCCGGTCATACCTCTATATCAGAAATATTCCGGCACGGCGCATCAGGGCTCGGATCAAGAGCTATGCCAAATGTGGCAGCCCTGCATGCACTCTACCTCAATCTTTCACATGTCCAACTGCAGCATACTTTACTCTTTCTAACCCAATCGCTAACCGATTAGTTTCTTCGCTGTTCAGGAGTAGTTGCGGTCGATCGCTCTCCACTGGAAGCACAACAGAATAGACTTTGGACGAGTCGTGCCGTGAAGCTACGCGGGATGCACCGAAGCTTCTGACTCTATCCAGGCTATCGCCAATTACCGATACCGACAACATGGTAGCCTCGTACCCATACCGCGATGTGCAGCCTTGCCCCGTAACTCTCTCTTATCGCAAGGATCCCGTCGTGCTTCCGCCAATGGCCTCATGGTAGCTCATCCGCGCCATCCCGCTCATTACATTTTCCATCGCACCTTCTCTATCAAGGTCAGCGAATCGAGCGCCCTCGGCTCTGCTTCCGATCGGCTTCATAGTGATACCGCGCAATCAGGGTTCGCAAACGTGATCGCCCCCGTGGCCGCAGGCCCTCAGAGGGGCTACGCAGACCCAGCGGCTTGGCCAAACCCTTGCGCTGGTCGATCATAACATGAGCTTGTGCACTGAGACGACATACCTACAAACCTAGTCGAAAATCGCGTTATGCACATTGATCACTCCTATTCTTCCGGATTGTTGACCTAGACGACATGGAATCTCGACTCAATACTACAGTACTGCGCCTCAGATAGTCTCATTCATAGTGCTTCAATATAGCACCATGTACCCAGACATGCGTCAATCACACATCTGCAACACCGTTTTGTACGGCGTCGCTTAACCGGCTAAGAGCGCACGCAGGCACATGCAGCATGGAGAAGCGCCAGATGAGCTCATTTGTTTCAATGTGAGGCACAGTAAGCACGCTGCAGGTACAGTTCGGAAACTTTCCATCGAACACTTATGCGTTGACTATCTGAAAGTGGTCTCTACCATCTACTTGCCTGCCACGCCGGCACCCAGCCGTCGACACGGAGTCTGCCTTTCTACTTAAGAAATATCTATGAAGGCACCGCAACGACCTGGAACTGGTAGTTGCAAAGCGGCTTCGATTTCGTCACCTCGATACTTCCATACCCGCCTCCCACCATCGTGCTTCCATCCCAAACCTCCAACTGCACCTTGCCTGGGACCAACGTCTCCAGGCCGGTGAACTTGAACTTGTTGAACCCTGGCTTGAGTGGCTGCGTTTGGTCCAGCTTCTTTCCGCCAACGTTGACAACAGCGATGAGATTCGTCTGGCCTTTGGCGACAAGTAAGACACCAGACACGGCATCTTCAGCTGCCTTTTTGATGTCTGCGGATGGCGGCACCTCGTCGTTGGTGCACTTGCCATTGACGGTAAGAGTGTGGTGCCAGAAAGTGCCTTGGACAGGTTTGCCATTCGTGGGATACATGTTAGCTGTTGTACGATCGCCTTGCTTCCACGCAGCGATGAACGGTTTCAGAATCTGCCAGTATCCAGTATGGTCGTACCCTGTTATGACCTTCGTTGTGTTTTCGTTCAGTGGCGTCGAGTGCAGGTGTCCCATGTAATGGCCCTCGCCGGCATCGTTCCAGGTCTGAAGCTGCACCATATCAGGTTGGACACTAAGGATCTGACCGAACCGGTTCTCGAGGTTGTCTTCGCCGCGACGGTACCAGTTTTGCTTGTAGTCCAAATGCTTCCATTGATAAGGTGAGATGCCCATCATGAACAGCTTCTTGGCCTTGTTGGCGGCGTCATTGAACACACGGTCCGTCGCGTCAGATACGGCGACTTTGCCTTCGTTTGTCGCAGGCCATGAGTTCCAGTTGAACACACCGTCAATCGCGCCACGGTCATTGAAGAAGTTTGCGGTGGGGTTGTAGATCTCAGAGAAGCCAGGGACGACGAGGACGTTGCCCACCTTTCCTTTGAACTTGTTCCAATCGTCGTTGGAAATGGTCTCGCCACCAAATGTCGATAGGACAGGCTTGGTCTTGCCATCGGAAGGGTCCGTCATTAGAAGATAGGAAGGACGGCCCTTGTGATCGTTGAAGTACTGGGCGTAGTTCGTAGGTTTCCCCAATAAGCCTGGGTGGTGATCCATGGAAAAGAAAAGGCTGAAACCGCCAATATAGTCTGCGTGATCGAACATGTATTTTACAGTCTGGTTGGACCAAGGCGCAAACTGATCTGTTCATTGTTAGCCCGGGTTTCGATTGAAGTTTTGTGGATGAAAATCACTCACCGAAGTTGAGCGCGAAGCCGTTCAGACCAAGCTCCCTCGCTTCCTCAATGTCCTGCACAACCTCATCGAGATCGAGTTGACCGACCATGTAATGGGCGACACTGTATGGGAGCATTAGTATGCGCTGATTTCTACGAGTAGGTAGACTTACATCGGTCTGTCAATAAGCATCCCCCGCGGTGCAACGCGGCCAGCGACAGCGCTGGCCAAAAGGCCAACAACAAAAGTAGGAACAAAGCGCATACTGAAGAAACACTCGAGTTGTTCACGAATGTCAAGCCAGCGATGTGGTTGATGAGCGACAATGCAGCCGCTCCCGCCATCTTTATAATTCTCGAGTGCCGAATGATGTTAGGCCTTTCGACCGGCAACCTGCGTAAGGCGACCGACTACACAGCCCGTGGCTGCTGGCAGCCTCGCCGTTCAGACTTGCAAACGGCACGAGATGAAAACTAGGCCTCCTGGCAGGGATGCTTACACTGATGGTAGTAGTTTTAGCCCCGCCATCTTTTCCACTTTACCCGTATCCACACACGCGTACTTTTCGCGCAAGATGTCTTTTCTACTCTTGAAGCTATGTATCGCGGCTCCATGTTTGAGCAGAAAATTCCCTTCCGTCTCGAAGTTCAGATGGCAATGGGCGCAAGTACGCCGATATTCCCGTGGTAATTATAACGCGAATGCGAAACAATGACGAGGACCGTCCCGCGCATGTCCGCAACGCCACAGGACGATTAGGGCCACCAGCTGTGGACCTGCAAGGCAGTATCGGTTTTTAGGAGCTGCCGTGTTTAGATCATCGAGACTGTTAGTCTCTGTTCTAGAATAACGCGTCCACTGCACCTCTACTCGGTGTTTTGCGCGACGGGCCGTGATTGTGGATGAAGTGTGGATGGAGAGGGAGTTTTAAACCAATCGGCTGCTAGTGCTGGGCATCATTATTCCTCGGTCTTCCGATTTTGATGACTACGGTCCGCTTTCACGATGGGGGCCGATGGGTTGGTCAGGAATCAGATCATATTGCCGTGATTTTGCATGCTGGTGCCGCGATGTGCTGCATGGAATGTGGGCATCACTTAAGCGATTGTCCGAGTATGGGTGTATGATGCGACTTCACCTCGGCGAGCACCAGTACCTACTGTAGGTACTATCGATTATCAGGTACCTCTTTTGGATTTTTTATCCACCTATTGATCTGTCCCGGTAGTCGCGACCTAGCCGCTGTATTACTACAAACTACGTCTTAGGGCCGGACATATCCGCGAGTATGAGCCTCGGTCACTGAGAAAGTGGAACGAGTGAGCTGTCGTGACGCAAGTTCTTCTGTTGACGATACTTCTCTATTGTATTGTGACGCGCATCGCCAGATCCATTAGCACTGGAACTATGACATGAGGAGACGTCAGATTGGAGAAGTCGGATCGTTTGGCTAAACCGGGAACAGACGTATAGCGCATTCTCCCACTTGATACCCTTTGTTCAACATCAATCTTTACGTTCCGTTCTTCCCATAGATCCCATCCTGTGTCCTCTTCCCAGTCTACTGCTTATCGCCCCTCTCACCCAGTCCCTCTTTTCCTCCTTGCACCTTTGTCTCGCCCCCAATGCCCGTCGTTCGAGTCGGCTGCGCCTGGTGGTCTGGCTGCTTCGCCGGATGGTCGTCGCCGGTCTTGTGCTCGTCAGGCGACGCACTCGATTGCTGGTCGGTGTTTTGCGTGTCCGAACGCATCTTAGCGTTTGGTGCGGCTGAGGAGTTCTCAGATGGGTCTGGAAGGTTGGAA